CTGCAATAATGAGATATGTGCTTTCACAAAGGGCACCTAGTCTGAATTTTGACTTAAAAGGAACAGATTCATCCTGAAGTGATGATAAAAACAATTTTAATCAGCAATTACTTTCAGTTGCTGACAACAAAGAGTTCCCGTCTAGAAACAATTGAAATGTTCAAATTCTGAAAGGAACACGTTCACGAATACTGTTGTTTTTGTTAAAGTCAGACCTTAATTAAAATAAAAGAGCAAATAATTGATATAGACATTTAAAGATTTTCTTCTCCATGAATTAAAAAGCAGCTTGGTGACCTCATGAGGAAGAAAAAAGTACATTTTTATCGTTGTGTGACAAAATTAAATACAAAACCAAGAGCTGAGTGAAGCTCGTCACTTTATTTTTTCACCAGCTTTAAGAGAGAATCCGTGTTTATTTTTAGTAAAACAAAATGAAATTGTGCGTGCACCTCCAAGGAAAGCAACAGATGAAAAGCAATTGGATTCTGCTCCCTGGAATGTGCAATTTCAGCGGATGTGCACCATTATGAGACCGTAGCATGGCAACATGTTAAATTAAACCTCATCCCGTAATACTCGCTTAATGGCAACAACAAGTTGTGCATCGTGTGATAGACGGATGCGTTTGTCTTCCTGCTGATGATCATGTTAAACATTTACCTTTGATTATGCAGGCATTTCATGACACGAGCACTTCATTTCCTTTTACTGTTCCAAATTACGGAGGTCCAAGTTAATTCTCTCCTCTCTAATATCCACTCATAATGCAATCTGTGATCATGCATGAAAGTAATATTGCACAGACCAGTGAAGCTCTGAGATTGCATTCTCTCCCTCTTAGTGCTTCCCGTTGTCAGTGATAAAGAGAGATTGACAGAATACATGATAGATTCAGAAATCAGACATTTGTTCAGTATCAGAGTCGTGTTTATTGACTCAAACATCAAAAAGGCCCAATCTTTACCTTTTGCTATCTTTGAAGGTTTTCGTGTTGTGAAATAAAATGCGGTGGTATCGTGAGTGAGCTCAGTAATTTATGCACCGACACATTAGTCTGCAAATGAACAAGTTGGTGTTATCACAACACACTCAGGCAAACTGACTGACACTTTAAATTCTGCTAATGATTATGAAGTTATTTTCTCTTCCTTCTCTTGCTGAAGACTCATATTGACAGCCAGTGAAAGGTACATAGTAAACATGTAACTCATTAAAAAAAGACATCACAAAGCAGCTCCTCACTGACTCAGAAATGGCTTTAAATCATTTCATTTTCCAGTTCCTAAACAGTTGATAATTTTATTTAATTAGCCTTTTTGTTTATTTAATTTCATTTTTGTTTTGGTATCTCTAATTAGGTTTTTATTTCAGTTTTATAATCCATCACTAGTTAGGATAATGCATTGAAGTTTGCAGTGTGGCAAGATGCGGAAACATGATTGATTCGTTTTTAATCATCAGTCCTTTTTCCTCAAGCACTCGAAGGAGATTTGGAGCAGAGACTCCTTTTCTGCTCCACTTGACCCAATCACTGCTGCAAACTCAGGGCTGGAAACCTGGAAACCAGGAAACACAGCAAACGCTGAAACCAAGGAAGAGAGACCCAGCGAGAGCTGTGGGTGAGAGCAGCAGCAGGATGAGGACAGAGATGGATGAGTGATGCTCTGCAGGATCAATCAGGCACACATCACCGCAGCAGATCATTTTTCCTCAGCCGCAAATTAGTGCCACCCCATCCTGCCCTGCTCACTTTAACCACATCACCCTGCCACTTTCGTGGCACCTTCTTTAGCCAAATAAATAGAGACCAGCAGGAGAATGGAGAAAAATGAGCTGGTTTAGACACTGGAGTAACAGAGATATGCAGATGTATTGATTGTTTTCATCTCAGGATAATTGCAATTAAAGTTTGCAAGCAGCCCAGTGGATCAGTTTCACTTCTGTCACCCTGCAGGAAGCATCGCAGCACTGATGGATACTTACACAGATCACTGGCCTGTAGGAAAAAGTGAGACAAATAAAAAATCATTTTCCTGTCAACAAAAACACCACAGGAATAAATTAATCAAAGCAGAATAGTTAGTTGTCGTTAAGGAGGGTGTGAAAATAACACAAATACAATAAGATCCGCATGGCAGGCATCTCCAGTTAATCTTTTATAAAGATGTGACCTTACATGGAATGTGATGTGTTGTCTAATATGATATTTGTTTAATAGAAAATAAAAATACAGGAAATCATAGAGGGCATTAACCCTCTCAGGCTCAAAATAAGTTTTGATAAAAGGACGAACAACTAAGTCCTTCAGGGGTACTTCTGAGTTTAAAAATGTTCATGAAATACGTATGTGGAGTAACCAGGTAGGTAGGTTTTAACGTTGCAAATCTGCAACGCCTGCCTCCAGAGAGTAAAAAAAAAGACATTTTATTCCTCATGCAACACAGAGAGAGAAAGAGAGAGAAAGAGAGAGAGAAAGAGAAAGAGAGGCTTGATGGATGGATGTGTGTATCGATAGATGGATAGATGATGGATGGATGGATGGATGGATGGATGGATGATGCATGGATGGATGGATGGATGGATGGATGGATGGTTGGATGGATGGATGGATGGATGGGTGGGTGGGTGGGTGGATGGGTTGGTTGATGGATGGGTGGATGGCTGAATGGATGGATGGGTTGGTGGATGGATGGATGAATGAAAGGATTGATGAATGGATGGTTTGTGGCACTAAACACCAGTGTGACACAGTTAGTGAATGATCAGGAATGATCAGAAAGACATAAATAAACAAATGAAACAAAAAAATTTAAATGGCAAACAAATAAATGAGGCATGACATCACATTTTCACCAGGTCAGCTGATTTTATATAATGTTAGGATATGCAGAGAGAGCCTGATGATAAAAGCACTTAACAGTCAAAGTAGATGTTCATGCAGACATATGCATTTATTTAAATGTTTAGTTTCAACTCAAACAACAGTTTTTCAAACAGTGTTGGCATAATCAACTCTTACTCTACGATAACTCCACAACTTTCTATCACCAGCCAGATCAGTGCATCCCATTCATTTCTTTGGAAGCACAATTTCCTAACTGCGTGAGTAAGACATCTTCATGGGAACCAAATCGACTGTTCATTAATGAGAGGAAGCTATATCTAGAACCAACATCTTTAATTAACACATCCCCAGCACTTCCTGTCTTTGATCTCGCTGTTTGATTTATGCCTCTGCCAGAAAAAGGTTGGCGGATGGGTCCACGAGAAGTTCGGAGGGGATGAAGATGCTCTATGAGAAAATGATGAAAGCGAGGTACCCCTTGTTGTTGGAAGTCTCGCAGCATCAGGACCTTTTCCCTTTGTGTCAAGGGGCCAGCTCAATTACCAGACTGCATGGCTATCTCTTTAATAGCCCGATAAGGCAATAATCCACAATCCATACCATTTTAATGACTTTCTGTCTAATTAGGAGCTGCTTTACAAAAGATGGACACATCAGAGGCCTCCCCATTGTCCCCAAACCTCATTGTTGGAAATATCAGTATGACCAGCAAGGGCTTAAGTACTGTTTAAAAGTATATTATAATGTTTAAAATAATAAGGTAATAAGATTTATTATTCAATGTCATGGAGGTCAGTATAAGAAACTTTTGTTTGTTTTATCTCTTCACCTGGGAATGTAGACGTACGTTTAAATGTTTTTATTTCATCCTTTAAAAAATCCATTTATTGTTTACATACATGAAGACTGGATGTAGAAATCTTACAGCAGACAAGTTAATCATCAGCATCATGTGAAAATTTATAAAATGGTGTGTGTGTGTGTGTGTGTGTGTGTGTGTGTGTGTGTGTGTGTGTGTGTGTGTGTGTGTGTATTTAATGGTCAGGTGTTTGTTAGTCTTTAGTCCCCTCTAGTGTTGGGCTGTGAAACTGTTTGACTACTCAAATACACAGACTACAATGAAGAAAAATCTAAAATATCCATTAATCTGTTTTGTAAAGAGCACAAAATGAGTTTTATAATTAATTTAATTGCAGAGATTTAACATAAAAATACTGTTACTGTACCCCTAACTAAACATTTATGTTTAAAATTTCCACTCAAGAGGTCAATTGACAAATGTATTTATACTAGTTGTTTAATAAACAAATAGAAAAGCAAAATAAAATAAAAATCATAATTTTTCCTCCCCCCAAAATATTTTTGGAGCATATTTTTTTACAATATTTATTTGTGTAAAATAGAATAGTTCTGCACTGTAAAATCGAATTAGTAAACTTTACTAGAAAAAAGCATGAAAACTAGTTGCACTTAAGTAAGTATTTAGTCAAGCAAATTTTATTTGCACATTTTACAGTTTTTTTTCTTAGTAACTTGCATTTAAATACATTTAACTGTTACTATGCATCAGTTTACACATAATGACCTATTCCTGTGTATGTGTTATTTGAGGGTACTTTTCCAGACCCACAGCTGTAGGTTTTCCCATCCTCACACGACTGGTGGTTTAACCAGAATCACAGATAAGGTTATGACACATTTTACCAGGAACTTAAAATCTGTTACATCAGGTCTTTCATTTTAGGGAATTTTCTAATGATTTTAGACTGTATGGATTAATGCTGGAGGTCACGACTGTTCATAACATTTAACAGGATGATTATCGTAATAATTTACATGACTTTTACACTTTTGCTCGAATAATCTTTACAGCAAAGAAACATGTTGATTTCCCTGAAGCAGCCGCCCCGATCTGTGAGCATTAAAAGCCAGAATAAACTCATAAATGCCCTTCTTCACCCTTTGAGCTGCCATGACTCACGTTTTTTTTTACTTCTAACACTTTGAGTGAGACATTCTTCATTCTTGACCTGTGCCAGAGGCGTGCTTCTGCTGACTGTGATAACAGTGTGTGAGACGAACCGCAGGTGCATTCTTAGATTTTGTCAGAATAAAAAAAAAACTGCCACAAATTTCCACACCTGTTCAAGGTCAAGTTGGGGTATAAAAGACAGACGGACGAGTTCCTTCCTTGCAGAAACGGTTTGACGAAACGCAAACATGCTCAGGTTTCTGGTCTTGACAAGTCTCGCAGCTTTGGGTAAGAAAACGACTGCACACAAGCATCTATTACTGATCTGTGTTTACTTGTGTGTCACGTTTAGCTGACTTCCTGCCAGCCACCAGTGGTAATGCGTGCCTGTTACTGTGTTTTTTGAACCAGTGCTGGCTGATCTGCAGCCTGAGCCCAGGTTCCTAAAGGACAACATGGAGAGGGTTGTTGGAGGTGAGATTGCTAATCCCAACTCCTGGCCCTGGCAGGTACGAAACAGTAAACGTGAAGAAAACAAAAACAAATGAGACATGACCCTAACAGATTGACACATAAAACTCACTCCATTCTCTCCCCAGATCTCTCTCCAGTACAAATCTGGCAGCAATTTTTACCACACCTGTGGAGGAAGTCTGGTCCGTAGAGGTTGGGTCATGACAGCTGCTCACTGTGTGGATGGGTAACTTACTTATTAACTACAAAAAATCTTCTGCTCCTTTTTGATCATAGTTTTTCTTTTATTATTATTTCTGTGACTCAAAAGCCCGTTACAGTAATAATGTAATTTACTTCACTGGCTCATTTATATCTGTGACGAGTTTTGAATGTGTTCATTTAAAAATTAATTTAAAGTAATGAGTTCAGTCTAAGAAAACCTCTTAGTTGCACCCAGATAAAATCAGCTTCCTAATGACCTAAACTGTTCCTCGACTCTAGTAACTTTTAAATCAAAATGTTCACCTATTCATCAGATTTTGAATGAATTCTTCTTAAGCTGCACCTTCTGCACTGTACCTGCTCACCCTTTAAATTAGTATTTTTTCTGATTTAAGTCAATAACATTTTTTTGTATTTTATTTGTGCTGTCACGTTGTTTTTGTGTTTGTGCTATTCTCACTAATAGAAAGCACATTGAAGTGCCTCTGTGTATGAAATGTGCTATACAAATAAGGCTGCCTTTCTTATTTTGTGCTTTATTCTTTGTCTAAAGCTACACCAATTAACTCACAACACTGTAATTGTCTTTGATTTCCTCTTAAACTACAGGAGCTCCAGGACATATCGTGTTATTCTTGGTGAACATGACCTCAATGTCAACAGTGGCAGAGAGCAGATCATTGCTGTCAGCCAGATTTACATTCACCCCCAGTGGGACTCCAACAGATTGTCTAATGGGTGAGGACATCCTCTTGGAGTCTTTTCTAAGTGTTGTGCTGATGTTTGTGTTTTAGAAAGGTTAACAGTGTTAGTTTGTCTAAACCTAAATCAAAGATGTTCTCTTTAGATGTTTAGCATTCATGACATTTACATTTATATTATAATCTCAGGTATGACATTGCCCTCCTGAGACTTTCATCTGATGCCTCCCTGAACTCCTACGTTCAACTGGCCTCTCTGCCTCCTTCCGGTCAGATTCTGCCTCACAATAACTTCTGTTACATCACCGGATGGGGACGCACCTCCAGTAAGACTTAGGGATGTCTAACCTGATTACAACTCTTTTCTTCAAAGCTAAATGCTTCGATTTCATGTCTCTTTGACCAGCTGGTGGCAGCCTGTCTGCTCAGCTCAAACAGGCCTACCTTCCTGTGGTGGACCACAAGACCTGCACCAGCAGCGGCTGGTGGGGCAGCACCGTGAAAACCACCATGGTGTGTGCTGGTGGCGCTGCCGAGGCCGGATGCAACGTGAGTCGTTTTAGAAGTCCATACTGTCCAGAAAGTTTTATTCTGCTCCAAAAATAGGACAACTTTTCTAATCTGTGCAGCAAACTTGAGTCTTGATTTGATTTCCTTTAGGGTGACTCTGGAGGCCCTCTGAACTGCCAGGTCAATGGTCAGTATTACGTGCACGGTATTGCCAGCTTTGTGTCTGGATTGGGATGCAACGCTCCCCAGAAGCCTACCGTCTTCACCCGTGTGTCTGCTTACATCGACTGGATGAATTCAGTTAGTGCATCTCGTTCATTATAACACTAAATAGATTACTTTGCATGTATTTTAAAAGTTTGCGGCTCTTTGAAGCCTAATCATTGTTTACTCATTCTTATTTTCAGATCCTGTAAAAGGTGTTGCAGCACACACCGGCTGACAGGCAGATTTGATCATGTTTAAATCGACTAAACCCACTCACCCGTCTAGTCTCTTCAACAATAAACTTCATTTAACTTTGTGCAGAGTCCTATTTTTCTTCTAATCAAATCTTATTTTATTTTGTATCAAACCACCCTCCCCCAAAATGAAAAGTTCATAAATAGGATTTATTGATTTATTCCATGAAAATCAGGAAAAAACAAGTGTGTCCAAAGAAGAATGAAAGCTTAACACTCGTTTCTAGATGGACATTCTCAGAACAAAATGATTTTAGTTGGTGAAATCAGTGAGAGCATGTTGTCTCAAATAATGGTTAAATGTTGATAAAGTCTAAAACAGGCTAGAGGTGTACTTTTGAGTCCTGTCAAGCAAGCTGAGGGCACCAATTTTTTTGTCAGCCTAGAGGGTTTTACTTTTTCTGCACCTCTTTCATGTGGAGTTCTGCAGAGCTCAGTTCTTGGTCCTTTGCTTTTCTCTCTTTAACTGTCTCCACTGGGCTTAAGCTTCAAAAAGCATAACTATGCTTTCCATCTGTATGCTGATGACATTCAGGTTTATGTCCCACTGAAGCGTGAGCATTCTTGTTCACTAAAATCTCTTCCACAATGCCCTGAAGAGGTTAGAGTCTGGAGGTCTGATACATTTCTTTATTTTGTTAGCACTTTGGTCAATTTTGCTGTTTTAAAGTGTGTCATAAATAAAGTTGGCTTGGCTTTTTCTGCTATTCATCACTCTCACAACAAACAAAAAGAAACATCAAGGCTTTTTTGCTGCAGAGAGATTATGACTCACAATAAAAAAACACAATAAATGAAAGGGTTAATCATGTTAAATGTGTTAAAATGTGTTTTTATAAGTGTGATTTGTTTGTTTCTTGGTGTTTGTTGAAATGGAGCCCAGCTTCAGAGGAAGCAGCTCTGTAGAGAGAACAGTGGGAGGTGAAAAAGTGCCTTATCACTCCTCGTGGCCTTGGCAGGTACAGTACTGCACAGTGGAGCAGAGACATAAGAGGTGCAAGATCTTATTTTAGTCCAAATGTGAAGGTGGCGAGAAAATCAACAAAACTGGAGAATATGGAAGCTTAATGTGTTTCAAAATGCATTTGATTGATTTGCACAATCTCAGTCTGACTTGATTTTTACACTTATGCAGCTAAGAGCGAAGGATTTTAGGATATTTGAACATTTTTCACAGTCTCTTAGATATCACGGGCATCAGCAGCTAACATCTCAGAAGTAAAGGTTGAATGTGGAAATAGCTGCAGTGGTCAGAAATAATTCTAACAAGCTGTTAGCTTCCAATAATCACTTTATATTTAAATTACTTTATTACATGAAGTTTGTTTTTTCCCCTAAAAAATCCTAAGAAAAATTTAAAAGTCTCTGCCGCATGTTAAATGTAAAAAATAAACAATCAATCCCACTCCAGGTCTTTTCTCTGAGATTATTATGATGACTCCTTTCACCATTTCTGTGGAGAAATGCTAACAGACAAGATTTGGGTTTAGTACTACGACTAAGGTACTTTTCATTGGTAGATGCATTTCCTTTAGACTCCTTTGTGCAGCTAAAAGCTGTAGCTAAAAGCAGCTTCACTTTGGTTGGTTCTGACTCAGGGTTCTACCTGCTGACTGGTTCCTAAGGATCTCAGAGCCCTGCTGGGCGTAGATACCTGAAGGAGATCCAACATGTATTCTGGCCCCATGCCATTGAGTGCTTTATAAACTAGTAGAAGCACTTTGAAATCGATTCTGTAGTTTAATGGTAACCAGTGTAGGGATCTAAGAACAGGAGTGATGTGCTTGGTTCTCGTGGTTCTTGTCAAGACTCTAGCAGCAGCATGCTGTATAAGCTGCTATATCTTCACAGCTTTTTTGGGAAGACCAGTCAAAAGACCAATGCAATAGTCCAGGCTGCTAGAAATGAACGCATGAATGAGTTTCTCTAGGTCCTGAATAGACAAGAGACTTCTGAGTGTAGCTAATGGATGAAGATGATAAAAGCTGATCTTGTTAAAACCTTAATGTGACCAGTGAAGCTCAGGTCTGAATCAATTATGACACCAAGATTTCTAACCCGAGTCTTCGTTTTTATTCAGCTGGCACCAAGTTGAGCAATAGCTTCCACCTATCCTTCTTTTAATGGTCAATTTCACTGAAATTTTTTTAATGATTATTTCTGATTATATTCAGTCACTCTGAGTTTTTCATGCAGACTGAACATAAAAATAGTCTCTTACACCTATCTCCTACATTAACTTCTGATAGAAAACAGACGGTGAAACTCTAGGATCTGAAAAGCCTGACAGATCTACGTCACACTGTCACTTAACATTCGCCCATCTTGACTCGACGGGGAAGGCTGTTGTCGGTTTAGCGTCCAGAAAACAGATGGACGAACGGACTAATGGGCTCGACACACGGGAGGCGACAAATGACCGCGATCAGCAAAATTTGTCACCGTCACTTTTATTACCTGACACACGGGAGGCGACCCGCGGCAGCGGCCAGCGGCAAAGCCGTCTACGCGTTCTGTTCCATGGCGAAATTGAAACTTTCGTTGTTTGGCTTGGCTGTGTCAGGTTGGAGGGAATTAAGGTTATTTAAGCGGTTCAGAGCTAAAAAAGTGGTAGATATGATGTTTCACAAGGTGCTGCTAGAGTTATGTGAAATCTTACTTCTGATTTTACTATATAAAACATAATAATAATCAACTTCTCCTCCATGTTCGCTCGGAGGTGAGCATCCTACCCGCTCATTGGTCAGTGAATGAAACCTCCGTTGATTGGTCCTCGTCCGAGCGACAGCGATGAAAAATTCAACCAACTTTCTGGGATCGCATCGCTGGGTCGCCTGTGCACGACACGTGCACGGGCGCAAAATTTCACACGCACGTTTTTCGTGTTTCGCTTGGTAGGAGGGAGACCCGAGATTATCGCTTTGTCTCATTGAAAATGAATGGAGGAGAGGCGATGTCGCCTCCGAGGTGTGTCGAGCCCATAAGTGTTTGTTCCTCTGTTCATCTGTCAGATGTGGCATATTTTAGAAATGTAGGCCTATAAAACACTTTGTGTGTGTGTGTGTTTCTCATGAAAGCACAAAGCCCACCATTTTTTCTGTGAAAGGCTTTGTCAACCTGCTCCAGAGGAATCATGGTTGTTTTCTCTTGTAAGGCAGTAAAAAATTAGAAGCTATCATTCTTTTTCATCTTTTCGCTCATCTATTAAAACATTACAAATAAAAATGTGATGGCCCTCTGAATAAAACTTGGTGCATTCATGGGATGGACAGCTCTGGGTCTGGGGTGGGATGCAGTCTACGGTCTTCGGCCGCGTTTCAGCCGACATCACATGGATCACTAGTCAACATGAACACTGTCAGTGGTGAAAATCTGATCCAAAATAAAAGGAAATAAAGATTCAAAAAACTGATTAATGCTACATTTTCTGTTTTTTTCTTTTCTTTTTTAGTTCATCAGCAGTTCTCAAAAAGGAGAACCATTTGCATCAGATGCAGCTCTGCTTGTTTTCCTGCAACTCGTTTTCAGTCAAATCAACTAAACTGGCTTAGCGTAAAAATTACTGCTTGTTTTTATGAATTTTCTAACATGATGCCGTTTTTGGTAAAGCAGTCAACTCTTCATAGGATCTTCCAAATCATGACAGAGCCAGAAAATAGGGTGTGATGCAGTTGCATCAATTTAAGTTTAGAATGTTATGCAAATGCTCCAAAATCTCCTGTTTCATCAGCATATCAATGCTGTCGCCAGTCAGCAAGCTAGACTGTGACAGATTTAGGACACTACACATAAAATAAAGGAGGGGGTGATACAGTGAAGCAGACTTTGGTTTCTGACACGTCAGCTCTGAACGCTGGTATTCAGGCAGCATTTGTTTTCTTTGTCTTTGCTGTTACTCCTGCTGTTTCTGAAATAAAAATGTTGTTCTCCTTAGCTTCAGAGTCAAATTAAAAGATCTGTCTAACCTTTTCTGTTGCCTGTTCATAGGTTAATGCAACACCAGAGGCAAAAGGCTGCATTAAGAGCTCTGGCGTTAATAGAGGGCAGAATGGAAGTGTGGGAACTGGCCATGTGTTTCCATTTAGATAAGGCAAGAATGGAAAAAAGCACTCAAAGAACCTCGTGATGGGCGATATTCAATAAACGTTGCATGTCTAAAATGCTCCAGCAGAGTCTTCATTAACCCTTCTACTTTCATTTTTCATGGTTTTACTTCAGTAAATGGCGAAATGTCACCAAATGTTACAGAATTTTCCTTTCTTCATTTTTCAAACAATCCGGCCTTACAAATGAAATAATCTCTAATATAAATGTTTAAAGTAGAGGCTGTGGGTGCATTATATTGATCACATTTTGTAAGGCTTGCTTTTATATATTAGCTTTATTTACTTTCATTATAATTCATAAAATTGCTGTAAGGAGAAAATAGTTTTAAGGGAAAAAAATCCTCTGATCATGTTATGCAGATAACGTCACATCAAAATCGTGGTATTAAAAAGTACAGGTGAAACCTGAAAAAGTTGTATATCATGCAATATTTATTTCAGTTATTTAACTAAGAAGGCCGTTATTTGTTATAATTGGGATATTATGGCTTAAAGCTTATGAAATCCCCAAATTCAAAATCTCAGACAACTAGAAAATTGTGAAAAGGTTCAAAATTCTAGACTCAAAGTGTAACACTATAATCAGCAAATTAATCTAGAACACCTACAAAGGGTTTTTGAGCCTGTAGATGCTCTCTCAGTCTAGGTTTATTTACTGAAATGAATGAACTTTTGCACCACATCCCAATTTATTCTTCCAGTTTCATCTGTAATTGGTTAATTAATGCAAGTTACAGCAGTCTGCAAAGAGCTAAGCATGGACACCACAATTTTTTCTCAGGAATCATAGAGTAAGTGAAATTCAGACATGTGCATTCAAATGAAAATGACTATTAAAAGAAATGGATGTGAAGATTTCATTCTTCTCCTGATGCATGAAGAGCTCCTACGACCTTAAACCAAATTCTGCTTAAGTATCTTTTGCTGCCCTGAACCTACACTCTGAGGATTTCAGCTCTCCAGAAGCTCATGAATACTTATCAGAGGCTTAAAGTTGAATATTTTTAGGTTGTTCTTCAAAGCGTTGAAATGTGATCTTAATCTATAATAATCAACAACGTTTCACCTGCAACATGAAAGGCAAGATCAGCACAGTCAAATCTCCTCGCCGGACCTGTTATCTCTGCACTCACCTCTGGGGCTGACAGGTGTGTGTTCATGACGTGGAACTTTAATGTGCATGCTTTTAAAAGCCCATTGATGTTAGTTAAACACCAAGTTTTGATCCAATACTAATATTTAGACTTATTTTATGCAGATGCACATTTCATTAACCAGCTAAACGTTTAATGGTAGCAGGATTTTGTGCTTAGAATGTTTTTTTCTCCAACAAATCAAACACTTCCTCTCTTCCTGTTTACTTTTCATACAAAGACTACTTTCATTTACATTGACTTTGCAAACTAGAAATCACTCAAATGTGAGTTTTAACAGGAAGATTGTACTTGTCAGAGCAACACTGATGTGCTTCATTGTTTGCAACTCGGTGGAAGTAGTTACATTTGGCCTTTTGCAAGACAGACTAGGAAAGGCAGTTTTATTTGTATATCACATTTTATACACAATTCAATGTGTTTTCCATTAGCAACAATAGCACGAACATTAAAGGGATACTTTGCAACTTTGTCATATTTCTAAATTATTTTCTTGAGCCAGTATGTGCTGAAATGACCCTTTACAGGATTAATGAACGTCAGTCAGACCCCATCGCCCTCTGTGGCCAAATTACCGCACTTGCAACTTCAGAGTGTTGGACTGCTCCCCTAATGGAACTGACATGCTGGAGCAGGAGTCTTCTTCCAGCACATTTCCTGCATGTTTTAGATAATGAACACAGCTCATTTGTTTATTTAGTGACGAACTGCAAAAAAAAAAAAGGTAAAGGGTGAGCAGTTACAGTGCATAAGGTGCAGTACAAGAAACCATCAATCAAAGGCTGATTAATAGGTGAACGTTTGATTAAATTTTTACTAGAGATGGTGCTCATTTGATGTCATAAGCAGTAATCTTTACGTCCTGGAACATTCCCCTGAGTGGGTTATGGACCTTTTATTGGGGGGGGGGGGGGGGGGGGGGGGGGGCATTTTTTTGAAAGGTACTGGAAATGATTACAGTCAGCTATTCCCTGAAATCAGCCCAGCTAGTGATAACTGTGAGATGAACACAGGTGGACTTGTGTTCCTGCTGGACACGACACACACACACCGCTATCAGCCGAAGCCCACCTGAGGGTATAAAAGGGTCGATTACAGGGATCTCAGAAGCAGAAAGTTTCAGGTGACCTCAGACATGCTCAGGTTTCTTCTTTTGACCTCTCTCGCAGCCCTGGGTAAGAACTGCATCGCTCTTATTGATTCTCCAGACACAACCCAAATGCTCCTACTATAGCATAAAGTTTTGGCTTGTTTGTTTTTCCCAGTGCTGGCTGAGTTTCAGCCTGAGCCCAGGTTTCTGGAGGATGAGGAGAGAGTTGTGGGAGGAGAGGTGGCCAGACCAAACTCCTGGCCCTGGCAGGTATTTACAAACATGCAGATCCAGTAAAGCTCTTCTACATCAGGTGGTTTTGAAATTCTTTATTCCAGAGAGATTTTAAAGATTTATGCTCCTTTATTAGATTTCCCTTCAGTACCAATCTGGCTCCAGCTTCTACCACACCTGTGGAGGAACCCTGGTCAGACAAGGATGGGTGATGACTGCTGCTCACTGTGTGGACAGGTAGGAGTTTAGGTCATCACAGAAAATCTGCAATGCTCCAAATAATATGAAGATTTGTGTTTGACTGAAGTTAAATGGATGTATTTTAAAATCAAATAATTCATGTAGCTTCAATTGATGTTGAACATTCGTTTGTGGTTCAATTTGGAAACAACGCCTTTGTTTTCTGTTTGGCCACAGAACCATGACTTGGCGTGTTGTTCTTGGAGACCACAACATCAACTCCCATGAGGGCAGGGAGCAGTACATGAGCGTGAGCCGTGTGTACGTCCACCCCAACTGGAACCCCAACAACGTCGCTGCTGGGTTAGTTACAACATCACAAACACAATTTTAAAGTATTTTGATGTTTCGGAGCATGCTAAGGTCATTTTGAAGTCAGAGTTTTATGGATCTGTTTTTTCCTGAGTAGTTTTACCATAAAAAAGTCATTTTTCCAGATTAACTTGTGGAAAAGAGCAGCTTTGCAGATTTGTTTTTGCTAAGTTTCACGTGCAGACTGAACGTGAAAACAGTCTTCCAACCTTTTTTCCTGCTTTAGCCGCAGAAAGAAAACATCCAGGGAAACGCTCGGCTCCAGGAGAGAGCTGAGCACATCTCAGCTAGTAGAAATTAACTGTTTGCAATAGCAACTTAACAACAAGGTGGAACACAGTCAGGATAGTGTTATTTGTGGAGATAAAACATCAACGTTGCAAGAAGAGTGAATGGAGGAAGTGGAAGAGTTGCGTTGTTGCCAGCCAATCAGAGACGAGTTGTTTGTTGATTCCAGATTCTCTGCTTAATGAAATGGGAGCACAATAGAATTTTTTCCGCAGGAAAAAAAAAGAAAAACTCACAAGTCATTAGTTAATTTTATAAATCACTGCTAATTTATTTTGTGTATGACTTCTGTAATTATTTCTTGGCTTCTTAGCCTAAATGTGAATTTAAGAGCATTTAAGGACATCTCATATCACGTCTTTATTGAATTTCTTTGCTTTCTTTTCGTCTCAGGTACGATATTGCTCTGCTGCGTCTGTCTAACAATGCTGTCCTCAACAACTACGTCCAGCTCGGCAGCCTGCCTCCCACCAACCAGGTTCTGCCCCACAACCACAACTGCTACATCACCGGATGGGGACGCACCCAGAGTGAGTTGGGGATCATTCACATGGTTAATAATGATCAGAAACACAAACGCTCTGAGTTCATAAATGACACATTTGTTGTTCTCATTTCTGCAGCTGGTGGTAACTTGTCTGCTCAACTGAAACAAGCCTACCTGCCTGTTGTTGACTACAACACCTGTGCCAGCTCCGGATGGTGGGGCAGCACTGTAAAGAACACCATGGTCTGCGCTGGTGGTGGAAGTGAGTCCGGCTGCCAGGTGAGCCACTTTTTTGATTTCATAAAAAAACCGGGAACTTTTGGGGTGAAGCAGCAGTTAGAACCAGATCCACCTCCACAATGATGGATCCGCTTCCTGCTGAGCTCTGGTCTGACCCCTTCATCTCAAGAAAGATTTTTTTCAGGGACTAACACAGAAAAACTTTCAGCATCAGCAGAGCCATAAGTCAGCTGCAATGATCCAAGCTGGAGCTTAAGCTGCACAAAGTGTCAAATTGTTGCAGACTCATGCTCTGCACTTAGCAGCTCTGAGCTGACTGAGATCAAAGGTAGATAAAAGAGAAAGAAGAATGAGACAGGTGCTTTGGAAGGTTCTTAGATTAAAGTCAGGGATTATAATTCAATCACTTATGTGTACATATTTGAATGTACGCAGGGTGACTCTGGTGGCCCTCTCAACTGCAACGTCAATGGTCAGTGGGTCGTTCATGGTGTGACCAGCTTTGTGTCTTCCTCTGGCTGCAACGCCTACAGGAAGCCCACCGTCTTCACCCGTGTGTCTGCTTACATCAGCTGGATGAACAACGTCAGTAGAACAGATATGCCACATTTGAAAAAAAGACCTGCTTTCAACATTTTCACTCACCAATTACAACTTTCTATTTCAGATCATGGGTTGAGAAGAGAAATGGTCTCCATGGAAATAAAAGAAGACTCTGAATTCAGTTCTCCGTCCATCAGAATAAAGTGTTATTTACACAAAATTGATCTTTTGTCTTTATTTTTGGCAACATTTTGTGCTGGATGCAACAAGCAGTGGTGATTTGAATGTTTAAATTCTAACTAGAGCTTGGAAACTGCTCAACTAAAGTGACACACTCAATGTAGGAAGGAAGCTCACTTTATGCAAGAGGATATCTGAGTGAGTTTTGCTGCAGGTTGATTGCATTAATCACAAATTACAATTCTGTTATGAATCACGAATTTCTGTATATTCAAATGCAAAATGTGATCACAATTGCTTTTCATGACAAATTCTCCAAAACTGCTGAAAGAAAACCAAATGGAGAAAACACAAAAATTACACAAAAAGGGGAAAAAATGCATGATTGTTTTTTCATTAGATATTGCAGGTTGTGGCTTTAGAAATACGGCACACGTACACAAATATGCATAGAGGTGTTAGACGAGTTTTATATTGTCTACACACCTCTCCTCTGATCTGATAATTAAATCTGAAAAGAAATCAGAAACATAATACAACTGGTCAGGAACGTAGGCAGGGGAAATCAAGCCCATATACATTACATGAGAGTGGGTTAAAACCACAGTGGCCATTATAATGAATCTCATCCTACTGTGAATACCTGTCATGTTGTCTTGTTGTTAACACAGAAATTATGTAAATATAAGCTCAGTGGTGCAACTAATTTACATTTCGATTGGGCAAACTCGACTAAGAGCATGCCCATTTTCTTTTTACTCATTTGCTTTCCACAACTTCTCCATGCTGAGTCACTGAGAGCTGAAGCCCATCTGCTGACAGCATGCTAGTCCACTGCAAGTAAATAAAAGCCTATTATGCATGCTCATGTTCATTTTTAATATCCAAATATCACCTCCAAATTAATGAAGGGGGCAAATATGACTTTATTTCTTGAGTGATAATAGTTCTATGGTCTTTTCCAAACATGCTTTGATGTCAACAGTTTTATTCTTGACGTTTTCAGTGCCTTCCAGAATGAGCCGTTTCAGGACTCTTTAAGAAAACAAGCTGGAGCTGGCCACGCCCACCCATCCCCACTCAAGCTAAGCTGAAAATCTCCAATATCAGAGAGGTACTCGGAGTAGAGCTCTCTCTTGCACATGAGATGTGGTTTATGTCTCATTTGCTTGTTTGTAACATCACAAATGGGGACTTATTCAAACAGCTTGTTTTAGGCAAAAAGTTTGTGAAACCAAACAGTAACAAGAAATGGATGAATGTTCTTTTTCATGTTTGGAGTGGAGTATAGACCCACATGGCAGCCAGATAGTATGCAAAAGGTGAGATTTGCATATAATGTTCCCTTTAAAGGTTGAAGAAACCCGTTCAATCAATACATTTGCAGTAGTGTCTGGTAGGAATGAATGCACTGCATGCCACACCCAGGACTAAAAAGGCCCACAAGCGCTTGGATCAGCACAGGCAAATCTGCTGCAGCCAAGAAAAGCACAACACAGCAGGATTTGGAGTCTTATTTCCTTTTTTTTTTTTTTTTTTTTTACTGTGTCCTGTCTGGCTGTGAAGCAAACAGAATTGATGTCTGTCTGCTGGTAACAAGCCTTACAGATTTACTCTCAGGTGGAGCATCAAAGCGTCTGCTTTTAATGTCACGCCTGATACTTAAAACTTTATTGTTATTGTTGTTGAATGCTTTGTAATTCCGACCAGACACGGAGTCAGAGGTGAAAGAGAAAGGAAAAGGTGGGGAGAGAGGAGGAGGAGGGGGGGGGGGGGGGGGGGGGTTCCACAAAAATAAACAATGAACAAGAGTCTGCTTCTAGACCTGCAGAAAAAGACAAAAAACAAAAGGACAAAAAAAGGGACACAACAACAATACAACAAGATCTAGCTATCACTGCGTCAACTTGATGAAAAAAATATATATATATATAATCAACATTGCTTAACTGAAGAAACACGATAATAAATCACAATGCATTAAGTGCCCACCATAGTCTTAAGACCTGTGTTTAACATGCCCAAGCCCATACTTTTGAGAGCACCATGTGAGCACCTGTGTGTGTACACGCGCTTGTTTATTTAAGGTTTCTCTATAGGAGCGTCCAACAGAGATAGTGAGGGACCACAGCCCGCCCCCCAAAGATGCGCAGGAGACGGGGCGAGTTCCAAGTCCCAGAGATCCAGGCGCTGCCTCAGAACACAGGAACCCCAAGGAGACTGCAACCAGGAAGGCCCCCGCCCCCCTCGAGAGGCACAGAGGATCGCCCCGGGGGGCCACAACCAGCAGCCGGCAGAGTCCCGGGAGACATCAGCGGCAAGCCCACAGGCCCGCCCGCAGCCTCCCACCCCCTAGCCGGGCGAGCCCGGGACCCAGCGACCCGGGACCCAGGGGCGACCACCCCCGCCGGGGACCCAGCAGAGCCCAGGGACCCAGACCCCACCAGGCAGCCACCGGGATCTATCAGGCAGATGCCAAAATCTTAAACCCCCAGACTCGGTTGCCACGAACACTCAGGCAGACCATGGCACAACCCCTCACACCAGGTGTGGTAGGGGGAGGGGGGACAAAGATCTATATCATCAAGAGAAGTTCCAGGAGAGGGGAGGAGTCAAAGGCCCCACCTGACATATACAGTCATACACAAACACAGTCACACACTCCCTCCCTCATGCTCACACATGCACATACAACCCAAGACTTACAAAAATGCACGCCGGACACCCACTCATGCTCCCCATACAGTCTTATTTCCTGATATTTGGACATCTTGCCTTGGATTGGATGACAGCAACACCACTGAGTTGCAACACTGATGTTGTCCCTCCACAAATAGGTGTAGGAGACTGCTTCAGCCTCCATGAAAATTTCCCCGTGACAGAATATAATCAGAAATATTAATTAAATTGTTTTTTCAGAATTCCACACCTTTAAGGGCAAATCAAAGAAAACCATGAGGACAGAATATCAGTAAAACCTTCTCAGAAACGAACTGTTGAACCACCATGCTAATCCATGACATGAATGAATATTTAGCTTTCACAAAAGTAATTAGAATATGTCCACGATGACACATTTTGTCACATCATACAAATCTGCCTTAAACCAGGAGTGAAGCAGCTGACATTCTGTCTGTCTCCTGGGCCTTAAGGTCAACAAGACCAAAGATGCAGTCCATGCAAACAAGTCCTGGGCGATAGAGGGACATTAGTATGAGTGGGACCAGTGGTTAAATGTCACATGAATGTGTGATAGAACAGCTGTGTAACGGCCAGTCGCTCATATTGAATCAACTCAATGAAGCCGTTGGATTTATAAATAGGGTGATTGCTAAATTGCTACAAATGCAATGTGGCTAAATTCTCCAGAATGCTTGACTATACACAATCTGAGTCAAATTGTAATTTATTTAATTGATTATTCAGCTTTTTTGTTGCAAAAGAGCAGCTCAGATAACAAGGATAACTTGTGAAGTGTTTTGTGATTATCTAATCATCTCTGCACCACCATTTGAGATATCCACTCAAGAACACAAAACTAATTAAGGATTAATATAGAGTTAATTAGAACAGTCTTAATGAATAACAGCATTTTATCACCAGCTTCTCAGCTAGTGAAATTAAATCAAAAGGTCACATCTGAAAAATCTCAGGAGGAAGTCCAGTGCTTTACTAAGAAGCAGATCACTTGTTGAACCAATTATAGCTGAGTGACAATCTTATGATGAAACATGTTTACCTCGCAGGCTATAAGCACAAAATAATATTCTTTAACAGAATCTCACAGACAGCAGCTGTTGGTGTGATTTTATAAAAAACAAGTTTTGTGTTTGACAGATAAGTCTTCACAGGGGACATTCTGCCTCGCTAAATCTCTTTACAGACTTCTATTCGGATCATTAAATCATCGCCAGCTTTAAAGCATGAAAATAAAACATGTTAGCTTTTCAACTGTTACACTTGTTGTGATCTTTCTTTCTTAGAATGAAACCAGAGGTCCCAATTATGTCATCAGAATTTCATTTTATTCTTTGGAAACAGCAGCATCTTATTTACAAAACACACATTTGAATTGTTTGAACCCTCAGGAAAGAACATTATTATTTACATTTATACACATAGGATAGGATTTTTACGTGCATTATTTTGTCACATGGCTGAGCGTGTTAGTGCATTAATTATAACAATTCACAACATGCCCTATAGGTTATAAATTATAAGTCACTTTGGATAAAAGCGTCTGCTAAATAAATAAACATAAACAATTCGGGAGGGGCTCAGAGTAGATCTGCTGTTCCTCCACGTGGAGAGGAGCTAGTTGAGTTGGCTCGAGGATCTGGTGAGGTTTTCCAAGCCGGGAGGAGACTGAAAGGAAGACCCAGGACACGATGGAGGGACTAGGACTCTCAACTGGCCAGGGAACACCTTGGGATTGCCCTGGAAGAGCTGGCCCAAGTTGCTGGGGAGAGGGAAGTCTGGACCTCTCTGCTTAGGCTGCTGCCCCCACGACCCAACTCCGGATATGCGGCTGAAAATGGGTGGATGTATAAATGCCATCAAAACAATGGAGTAATAAAAAAATCTGTTATTTTGGTCCAAAGTGACATGAAATTAACTAACTACCACAATAGTGAATTTCAACATGAGTGTTCGACAATCTCAAGCAATCCTGTTTTAGATAAGATTTCTAACATTTCTTTGCTGTTTTTTCTTATCCAAAAACTGTTGGTAAGAACATAAATAGCTTCATTAATTTGAGAAAAAGACACCATCCTGTCATTTACCCAGAAGCCACTTCATCATTCATCGTGGCTTCGTGTTCTGGCCTCAGCTCAAATCACCCACAAACATAAATCAGATTAATGACAACCAATCTATTTAGCTCAGGATGTGGCCTTGTTGCAAAACTATAATTACTGCAGGAAAAAAGTAACTCCTCTTCATAAAGCAGATTTCATGGGTAACCTGGTGACTTCTGTAAACACACAGTGACTGCCAAAGAATCAGTCAGTTTGCTATGATAACTTATAGAAAATGAAGCGAGCACCAGTCTGTCACTCATTAACCTAAAGGTTTAGGAAACGTACAAGTTTATCAGGTCCTTGCGGGTCTTCTCAGCATTAGGTCAGTCTTTTAATAAGCTCCCAAATGCTCCACAGAGATGTTTGTTTGATGGGTCCACAGCGCCACCTGATGGAATCATGAAAAACTGAAACCCACCAGACAGCTGGTGCCTGGTATTTATCCAAGTCTCAGCCATCATTAGCTGCATGGGCCAGGTCAGCAGAGAGAGAACATGCCAACGGTAATTAACCTCACATTCAACCAAAGCAATGCCAGAAAGGAGAGTTAGAGCTGTAATGGCCTCTCCAGCCACACATTCATATTTTCAAAGACATATTATTCAAAAAGGCTCTTGCCTGATAGCATCTAAAGCTGTTCAGTAATGAGCACCTCCCCCACAGCTTCGTTATTTCATTCTGTGTTTCAATTATGTTGCTGATGAAATCAACCAAAATCTAATTAAAGGTGGCAGAAAAGCTAATAAATAAAACCAACATGAAAATGTTTATGTGTAACATAAAATATATGGTAAATGGCCTGTATTTGTATAGCGCCCTCTTAGGGCTCTGCATCCCCCCAAGGCGCTTCACAACGCAGTCAATCATTCACCCATTCACACACACAAGGTGGGTTTAGGGTCTTGCTCAAGGACACAACAGCAGCATTCACTGGCGGAAGCCGGTATGAAACCTGCAACCTTCCGATTACTGGACAACCTACTCTACCTCCTGAGCTACTGCTGTCTGATATATAGTGAAATATTTCTTAACAACTCCGGACACCGAACTAAACTTTTACAAAGGAAAACTGTGACACATATTTCTGGAATCATGAACATTTCTTCTCTTTTTCTTAGAATAAATGAAATAATTTTTGTAATCTAGATTTTTTATTGAAAAAAGTAAAATGTGATGGAAAAAGAAGATGTAGAGATGTATCTTTACTAGCTACAGTAGGATTGTAACAGAGCACATATCTGATGCCAGGTCAAGCTGCACTTTCTACTGACGCTGCTCCTGTGTGATCTGATAAACTCTGAACGTTGTATAAATACACGCTCTCATGCTTTGAAGGTAAACCTAAATACTCATGTCACAGTCCTGAGAAACATTTATTTATATAAAATTTTATAAAATAAAAAAACTTCAAGTTGAGACTACATGTTGTCCTTATTTAAAGATCGTTGAAGAAAATGGCAGCAGTGGTGGGATTTTTGCACTGAAGCTGACACAAAACTTGATGGCCACAGCAGGAAGAAGTTTCCTCTCCAAAAGAAAGGGTGGGGAGGGCCCAAGCTAACGTTGGGTAGAACCATCGGAGCCAGACTAAAGGTTAAAGTCTGTCGACATGGTATACGTGCATCAAGTTCATCATCCATAAATCCATCTGCCAAGTTAACAGATAAAACACCTATTAAATATACAAATCTAACTCATTAATAGTGAACATTCTAACAATGTTCCTGGTGTATTTATGCAGCCAGATGCTTTTTCCAACATGCTTTTCTCATATAGTGCAACAGAATAACTTTGTGGTTTTAAATGCAATTTGAACAGAAGATTGCTTTGCATGCATTGCTATATTTTATGTATGCATACAAGTCCTGGCATGTTGCAGTTTGAAGCCTCGGTTTAAAGAATCACACCATGCCCTCGAATGTATCCAGCTTCTGGGCGTGCTCAGTTTCACCGGGCTGCTTTTTCCGCTGTTTCCAGTCTTGCTGATAATCCCAAAGCACCTTGACCACGTCCTCGTGTCCAAACTGAATGGCATCATCAACCGGAAGGTTTCCCCACCTGCATTTGATCACGAGAAAAACAAAACATCTGATTATGAAGAAAGAGTTGTAAAGTCCAGCTGCTTCAGAGATTCACATCATGGTAAACAATGTAAAAACTTTATACGGTGGTGAAAGGAACAGAAAGTTAATGGATCATGTAGAAATTCACAAATCAGAATTAAAACAAAGAGTTCAGAGATTTTCGTCAGATGTCAGCATCACCTGTCTTGTACGAATGGATTCGCTTTGCAGGTTTCAGTGAGGAACTTTACTACATCAGTGTGACCTGAGGATAAACAAACAGAACAAAGTAAAAGTTTATATCAAGGACAGTTTACACAACCTTTCACTCAGAACACGGTTATCACTTCACTGCCAAAAAAAGAGAAACTCAACTAATTCATAAAACCTGACAACAGGAGGAAAAATAAATGAAATATATATTTATAATTTAATCCCAAGAGATCACAGCTTTGTTTTTAATCCATCACTGGATTGGTCTCTGTGGGAGTTTATGAACAAGTTCCGTTCTTGTTTGTGTAAAATGCACCAATAAAAGCCAGCAGTTAATCCTTGGGAGAGAGTAATGACCAAAGTGCAAAAGAAGTATTTTTCCAACTCCGAGGTGTGGAAAATTCTCTTAACAGATATCTAACATGGGGAAAAATGGATTTCAGACAAAAAAATAATAACTTGTGTCAGATAACAATTAAATGTCTGAATACTGAAGTCTTTTTGGTGAGTGAAATAGATGGTTAAGCGTTACCATGGCAACAACAGCACAACACAAATGAAAATGTCTGCGGACGAAATCTCTCTCGCATAATGCTTTTTGCTGAAATGTGTTCAAGCGGACTATGTGTGTTATTTGGCAACATTTTCATAATTGTTGCAGTTTTGGTGCTTTTCTTTGAGGGTTTTGAGCTGTGGTGTCAGTAGATGCTGTTTTTAGATGGATGACTTTGGGAGATTAGTTTAGTTAAAAGAATACCAGACAGCTGACAGCCAGGTTTCCAAAAATAGCAGCTGACACAAGAGATGCAGTTAGTGAAGGAAAGAAAACTAGAAACAGATGGAGCTGACCCTCAGCTGCAGCAATGTGTAGTGCCGTTCTCGAGTCGTAGTCTTTCAGATCCATGTCCACAGAGGAAAGAGCAGACCTGCAGCAACATTTATTGCAGTTAACGTTTATGTTTAGCCATCGAAACATGAATGAACACATGCAAAAAAAATCATTTTGGTATAGCACTTTATTCATGGTTTTACTGAGAAATCAGAGAAAAACAATCAGAGCTTTGGATACCTTCTCAGAGCAGAGACGTCTCCACTGTAGGCAGCGAACATCAAGTTAAAAACAGATTGATTCTGCAAATATATTAAAGAGGAACAAATGCAGAGAGACAAGATACCAATAGGAAAAACAGAAGACAAGGAGCTCACCCTGTCATCTCTGTCCTGTCTGCGAGGGTCCTGCTTCTTCACAAAGTGCCTCAGGTTGTCGTAGTTGTGGAAATTAAACTGTGAGACGAGCTCCTAAAGATGAAGAAAAATAAAATGTCACGGGGTAAATTTTTGTGTAAACAAGCCTCTATCTTGTGAATCAGAGATCGACCGATGTGGGGTTTTCTATTGCCGATACAGATGCTGATATGTAGAGTTCACGGTCAGTAAATGGCCGATATGTGCTGCTGATCTTTTGGGCCCATTTCCATGCCTAATCTGCATGCTAAAATGTCACTAAAAACGACAGTGAATGCACAAACCCAGTTATTGAACACTGAATTTAACCAGCTGTTGCCTCTTAATTTTGTGCACTGACAGGTATTAAAATCTAATCAATAAACAAATTATTAAATATAAAAAATATAAATCTAAATAAAAGAAATGTAAGTATTGAAAGCATTTATCAGGCAGATTATTCAGGAACACATATATAAGTTTAAATCTAATTCGACAATGGCATCGTGCTGCTCACAGATGTGCCTGACTTTAAATAGGCTTTACTAAAGTGGTATATTGGCCAATGCAATATAAAAAAACTGGTACATTTCAGCCTGATATAGTGGTTGACTAACATTTTGCTTTATCCCTACTGGAAATGCATGCAAATTATCTGTAAAATGCTTGACCGTTGTTATTTTTGACTTTGATTATCAAGACCGGATCAGTTCAATCTTCAAAGTGGACGAGACACCATATTTCTTCTAGATAATAATGTAACAAAATTTTACGTTAAAGAAATATCAAAACATTTAGAAATGTTCTTTTTTTTAGCTCTAAAAAAATCGGACAGATGAAGTTTTAGGCACAGATCAAGACAAGCCCCACAAACTTTGGTCACACGTCTTGCTCTTGCCTGACAGAAGTGTATTCCCCGGACACTATTCCCAACCCGGTCCAAAGGGGGAGACCAACACATCACTCCCATGACGTTGGGAATCACCAGTAGGATTGCACCAGAAACCCCAGATTTTGCAGGCAGCCCCACCTGAAAAAGGACAGGAACCTGAATGCACCACTATTTTTTTGCACCAGCATTACTCCCACTGTGTCTGGGTGATTGTGTCACTCACATGGAAAGCCATCTGACCAGAGAAGTCATACATGCCGCATGAATGCATTAGGCTCAAGGTGTTTCTCACAGCCTCAGCACTCAGGACTCGCTCGCCTGTGATTGGACAGATTCCTCCATTGGCTAGCGTGGCGGCCATGATACTTCCTGACTCACAGGTCACCTCAATGGAGCAAAGCTTAAAGAAGAAAAAAAAGAGTTACCTTGTTACTGAATCAATCTTTGTTTTGTCAATTACAAGACAAGATGATGAAATGCCTCTTTTATACCTGGAAGTAGAAGTCCAGGGCATCAATCATTTCAGCTCCTGATGGAAAACACTAAAGAATAAAATATAATAATCAGTAAATTATCCATCCCTGCGATGGACTGGCCCTCTGTCCAGGGTGTACCCTACCTAGATGCCCATTGACCACTGGAGATAGGCACCAGAACTCCTGAATAGACCTTACCAGGGAGGCTCAGGGGTGTGATCCCCAACACACTCTGCAGTCCCCCTTTGGGGGACCACCACCCCAGTCTGCCAGTCCAGTGGGACTGCCCCAAATGTCCATGTGATATTGCAGAACCACATCACACAGCACAGCCCTACTTCATCCAAAGCCTTAAAGAACTCTGGGGTGGACCTCATCTACTGCTGGAGCCTTGCCATCGAGGAGCTTTTTGACAACCTCGGTGACCTCAGCCCTAGAGATTGTAGAGTCCAACCCAAAGTCCCTGGACTCTGCTTCCTCACTGGAAGACATGCCAATGGGACTGAGGAGGTCTTTAAAGTAGTCCGCCCCCCAATCCACAACATCCCGAGTCAAGGTCAGCAGCACACTGTCCCCACTATAAACAGTGTTGGTAGCGCACTGCTTGACTGCAGAAACTTGGACATGAAGGTGTCAGCGTTGCCTTATAGCTGCTGCAACCAAAAACAACAATGATCTTTTTAACTGTGCAAAAAGAAAAGTGCTTTAACAGACCTTCTTCTCTTTCATGTAGTATCCTATGGCAAAATTTCTGTCCCCAGTTTCTTTTTCTGACTGAAACCTGAGACGGAGATGGAGATGAGGTCAATACTTTATTTTCAATAATGCATTGAGTCTGTGGAAATGTAGTTTGCCACTTTCAGTTTATAATCTGAAAAAATACATATAGTTTTCCAAGACGACATACTCACGTGGCATTGCTGAAACCTACGTATTCCTGGCCAGCCATCTTTTTTAAAAATTCCATAAACTGAAAAACAAATTATGGAGATAAACATGGTGCATTTTAAAATTATTGATTATGACTGAAGTTTGAATTGTATTACTCACATTGTCAAACTTCTCTGCTTTATTGGAATGAGGCTGAAAAATAAAAACATTTATTTGCTTGTGTCAAAGTAAATGTTGTAAATAAAAAAAAAGCATGGATATACAGTATTAGTTGTTTCATAATATAGTGTCCTGTTACCAGAGGAAGGACAAGCTGTGATGTCTTGAGCTTAGGTAATTCACAGACCTAAACTAAATTGAGGGAATTTATATCTGTTGGTTTCTGTTTCCTTTCTCAAAGCTATGAAAAAGAACCACATTTAGTCAACACATCAAATGTAAAAACAAAATAAATGCATCACTAAAATAACAAATGTTCAATAAATCAGGTGTGTTAAACACAAAAAAGGCTAAATGTTGTTCTTCAAGACCAAAACTGCTAAATTATTGCAATAATTACTAACATATACTCCAAAGTACAAATATCACTTGTGACTTTTCCTAAAAAGAGAGAGTGGTTTATTATTTGTGCTGACTCCCCTTTAGTCAAATCTATCTGTTTACCTTGATAAGAGAGCTGATCAGTATGGCGCCAGCGTTCACCATGGGGTTGTGTGGCTTATCTGGGAAAGAGAAGTTAGACAAACACAAACTGAATCAGAAATAGTTTTGGGGAAAATCTTTGGGAACCCAAAGCAATGATGTGAAAAACACCAAATTTAGTGACAATGAATAACATTAAAAATACAAATAAATAAAAATGTAATTAAAGTGGCAGTGTGTAGTTTCCTGAGAGCAGTACATAAATACATATCCAGGTAGTTTTACACCATAACGTCATGACTGTCCCTAGTTTAAAAAAAAACACGACAGTGGAAAACATACCACCTCAGACTTTGGTGGTCCTTCAGATAATTCCATCGAGAGAATGCAATGCTGACGCTAGTTTTGTGGCGCTGTAGTTTCCGGATCTTCTCGGGGTCCTGCGCCTGCCGATGATGTAATCATAGTACGGCAATACCAATCTGCCAAAATATGTTGCATCTCTTTATTGACGTCATCGACAGGCACAGGACCCTGAGCCAGCCAGGAGGAAACATGACGTCTAATATAGCACCCCCCAAAGACGTCAGACCCACGCTTTATGTACTTAATTCCAAATTTTTATGGTTATATGGCTCAAAGCTGCCAACATTTTTCAACGACTGGACATCATTTTATTCATTTTCAACAACATTTCTATGGATATTTCCAGAGATTAGGGGTAAAAATACACATTGTCACTTTAAGTAATATAAAAAATACAATTAAGCACTGTTAATACTTGAACATTAAAATGAAGGCTGGTGAGTCCTGAGAGGCAGTGGCGCCCCTAAAGGGGTGGCCAAGGCCCCCCTGGGAAAAATGCTGGCCCCCTCAGAAAAGACTTCCCCCACTTGAAAAAAATCTTATTTAAATTCACTCAATCCTTACATTCATCTTATTTAATAAATGTTAAATGAAATAAACAAACTAATAAATCAATAAAACAATTTTATATGTGTTGCTGCTCTTCACCATTTTCAAAAATAAGTATATCAATACTTTTTTGTGGATGTTTTTGTTAAGACGACAACAGGCAAATTAAACAGTTGCTAAATGTTTAAAACAATAAATATTGAAATTAAAATAATCCAGATAACTGAAATGTTATTTTTCTGAGTTTTTTTTTTTCATTTCTCAACTTTGAGGTAAACGTGATGGATGAAACGTATTTTCAATGAATAAAATGAAGTAGCAATGCAATGCAAAATACTCCCAGAGTTACCACAGGGAACAAGATGATGTGCCACCCTAAAACTTTCACTGCCCCCCCCCCCCCCCCCCCCCCCCCGCACTTACAGAGAGACTTTAAATCACCTTCAGCCAGGTTGTATTGATGACTTTACAATTTGTGTCTCTCATTCAGCAGTCCAGCTGACAATGTGATTAATGGAGGATTTTAAACTGAGACTAGGTGGTGATGGAGCCTTACACACCTTCTTCATCAAGTGAGAGCATGTTGAACTTGAGTCCACTGGGCTCCATGCCGACAAAACTGTGAACGTCTTCGGTTCCACTCTCGTGGACAGAGATGGCATACTGCAGTGGCTTCACGCATGATTGCAGGCAGAATGGCTGCTTTGTGTCACCAACAGAGTGCCTGAAGATGAGGTGAAATTATTTCAACACATGCCATTGAAATAAACATTGGAATTTTGACCAAAAATGTCAAGCAAACATAAATCCTACCTTTGGCCATCCACTGTACATAAAGACACGCCCCACAGTTCTGGGCTAAATTTGGCCAGCTGAGGTATGTAGTCTGCAACCTGAAACCATATTTCACATGAAAAAGCCAAATTATACATTATTTTGTATTTGGAAATGATTTAACAGAAATATTGGGAGTTATTCTTCCCATGAGATAAGATAAAACTCAAAATTTAGTCTAGCCTCTGCCATACAGACATGGACAAAACTGAGACAGCTGGAGCAGTTTACTCTTGAGGAGTGGGCCAAAATACTTGCTGAGAGGTGGAGAAGTCTCATTGACAGTTACAGGAATTGTTTGATTGCAGTGATTGCCTTAAAAGGTTGTGCAAAAAAAAAAAAAAAAGTTAGGGGTACCATCATTTTTCCGAGGCCTATGAGGTTATTTTTTTAAACAGCTCACTGGTTAAATTTCATAGAGTTTTTATTTAGTATTACTTTTAATAATAATAATAATAATAATAATAATAATAATAATAATAATAATAATAACGCATTGAACATAAATAGCGCTTTTCAAGACACCTAAAGACGCTTTCACACACTCTCACATTCACACACTGCTAGTGATGGTAAGCTACTTGTAGCCACAGCCGCCCTGGGGAGGTCTGACAGAGGTGAGGCTGCCATTTGGTGCCGTCGGCCCCTCTGACCACCACTAACACAGGCAAGTTGGGTGAAGTGTCTTGCCCAAGAACACAACAGCAGGTTACCCCTGGTGGGAGCTGGAATCGAACCCATGACCCTCCGATCATGAGGCAACCCGCTCTACCACCTGAGCTACTGCTGCCCCGAGATTCAAGATTCAAGTTGTGAGACTCAAGTTATTTCTGTGACCATTGTGGGTTTTTCTTTCATTGACCAAAGGGTACCAGCGATTTTATCCATGCCTGTGTGTATTCGTTCATGGTATTTATAAGGTTTCAGCATATATTTAGACAAAAGCATATCTGTAAATAACACAAGTGGACATGAATACATATTGAATATGTTACAAAATCCTTTTTAAAAATCTAAATGATCAAAAACAGTTAACTCAAAAACAAATGACTACCTTTCCATCTCTTTGTTTTTGCACAGTTTTGTAGATTTCGTCTATTTTTTGGGCAAAAGAATCAAACTCAGGGATGATAAATTTCTTTCTGAAGGCCTGGATCAGTAGAACAACATTACCACCAAAGCACCTGAAAGGTAAACAGTAGCACATAGTTACTCATAAAGTTTATAGACAACAAATAAATAAAGTAAAAAAAATATAAAATGAGAAAAGACAGTGGTCCTAGATCTATTTATACTGGCTAATTTATTGACAGAAAAAAACAATAATTAATTCATCTTTAACGAATTGCTTGTTTATTTCTGTGTTAAGTTTTATAATATCTGTTCTTTTGTTTGTTCTCTGTCCAAAAAAGTTATAAAAAATAGACAAAATCATTTGGCGGTTTGATGAAATTAGATCTAATCCCACCATAAACCACAGAATCAAAATAACACCAGATAACAATCGGAAAGAAAAACTCAAGTAAACATTTCTAAAACATCATCAGATTGTATTACAAAAATAAAAAAATAAACTCATGTGCCCTTTCCTTATAGATCTTACTTTTATAAAAAAAAAAAACAGCAGAGGCAATTATGTTTCATGTCTCATGCAATAGTCCTGTATTAACATAGATTGTTGATAGAAGGTCAGGCTAAAAATAGCTAAGCTATGTCCGTCACCACTAATAAGCCTGATGCTTAATGGAAACAAAACTCAGACGTTCGGCGCTGTGCCGAGAGTTCAAGCCGAGTGTCATCGTAGATGCAGACTCCTAATTTATTTAGATGGCTTCCACATCAGAGTCTGGCACGCATTTAGTATTTAAAGGTTGACCATTTCACCTTAAATATCCCACCTTTCAAACGGCATTGACCCTTTAGAGAAACATCCTAAAATATACTTTAAAAAAAGAGTTGTGTTATCGCTCCTTCCGCAGAGCAGCAGCCCTGGTGGTTAGCTGGAAAGCCTGGCATTTAACCAAAATTAAATCTAAAAGTAGAAAATCATCCTATTACCAAAAGATCCTGCAGCGTTTGGTTTGTGCTGATCAAGCAGGGAGCAGGCTTAACCAGCAATGTAAAGCCCATTTCTAACTATTATCACATAAATGGAGGCAGCAGGCGCTCAGGTGGGATGCAGTGGCGTGTTCAGACCTGTTAAAATGGGGTGGTCCATTTGGGGCACTTGTTTATGCATGGGTGGCACCAATGGTTATGCTTTTTTCTTTTTTTCTTGTTTTTTATTTGTGTGTGTGTGTGTGTGGGGGGGGGGGGGGGGGGGGTCACTTCTCACAGGGTCATTGTTTACTTTTTTATTCATTCTTTGCCTTCTACTGAATTTGTGAGTTTCACCACTTTTCCCCTTCTTTTTTAAAGTAGCAATGTGTAGTTTTTACCATTAATCTCTAGAAATATCCATTTAAATGGTGAAAATAAACCAATTGATGCCCACTTGTTGAAAAATATAGACAACTTCGTAACACAACCATATATTACCTGGAGTGGAATGCCCACTCCAGTCGCTTTATTTCAGTCATCTGACCCTGTGCCTCAGAATTCAGATTAAATATTTTTTGATCATAATAGTAAAGGAACTATAACAGAAGAAGTTTTTCAATGTGTGTAGGGAGGGGAGGACGCACTATTTGACTGGCCAATCACAGAGCGTGAAGACAGTCAGTTACCCAATGAGGATTTTCCTTCAGCACGATTACAGATATTTACGAGTTTTACTCGTTTCATGCTCGTATTCGTCAAAAATGCTTTATGCTCATCCCTACTGTTTAGCAACATTCTTCTTGGTGCATTGCTGCCACCTACTGATTTGGGGTTTATAACCCCAAGCCTTTTGTGGATAATGTACAGTAAATTTAAATGGGAATCAGTGGAGTGGCCAATCAAATTTAAAGGGTGGCATGTGTTACCCCAGGCTCCTCCCTTGACATGCCCCAGGTGGTATTGTGGGTTGTTCATCTGACCCCTGACTTCTCCTTTTCTCGTGAGTTTTAGGAAAAACTGTCAAGTGCTTCATCAGAAATATAGAAAAGTGCTCAAAAAGCATCTAACACAATTGTGATTGTATAATCTTAAAAGTTTTGTACATAACCATTATTTACAATAGTTGATAAGCAAAACGAGACGTTTTCTGGCAAGATATGGAAGCACATCAGTGAATTTGTGTGTAAAATGTGTTTAATAATTGTGTCTTTATTCATGCTCTTGGCCTTGACATGTCAAAATGCCAATCAAGCTGCACCGATTGTGTAGATTGTTGATGTTTGACAGAACTCTGATGGTGTCTCACCTGTGAAAAAGGTCTCTGTCCATCATGACTTCAGCAACAGACTCCTTCACAGCCTGTCGCAGCTTCTCCGTGCTCTCCTTCAGACGGGGGTCAGATGGCTGCAGGCCTGTTTTTTTAAGGGCCTGCAAATATTAAATTAGGGTCAGCCAAACTAAAATAGTTTAGGGGATTTTTCTAGACAACAGAGTTGCTGAAGAAGAGCTCTGCTCACAGCAGTAAAGTATGAGATTGGCACTTGTTCTTTTCCATCAGTGATGGTGTAGAAAAGCATGTCTTCCACTCCAGATCTGGGGCATAGGTTTCTGTAGAAGAGCAAGGTTATTTTTGTTATTTGTTAGAGGTCTTTACTGTTACAATCCAACGAGCCATTTTATAGTATAGCATTTAAAAAGATCATTTCTGAAATATCTGGAATCTGAGAAGAAAAAAAAAGTAGGAACTCTGAAACTAAAATAACTTTTTAACTTGTTATGGGATTAATGTCACATATCTTTGTTTCCCTCTTTAGAAAAAAAATTTGACGAGATATTTTTGGTCATGTTTGAAAAACAAAACAAAGCGTAATTTTGTTTCTATTGTACATTTAGGAAAAAAATGAAACTAAACTTTTGCAATAACAATATTAATTTGCATTTATATGGGATGTTTACACTGCTGGAAATAAATGTAAAAAACACAAATAGATCTAAAATTGTTACAGCTACTTTTAGTGTTATACTGTGTAATTATTACATGAAAATTTTGAAAAACTGCTTAAATCTAGACTGGCAAGTCATCCTATATATGTGAATATTAGAGATGTGTATTGTTTATGTTTATGTTTATGTATTTAGCAGACGCTTTTGTCCAAAGCGACTTACAAGTGATAATCGGCATGTTGCCCTTGAGGCTAACAACAACAATAACAACAACAACTTGACACTAATCATGGAGAGGAGGGAACAAAGGAGTGGACGGTAGAGAGGGGGGACGAGTGCAGGGAGGGTGCTAGTTTAGAAGATGCTCTTTGAAGAGCAGGGTCTTCAGGAGTTTTTTGAAAATTGAAAAGGAAGCCGCTGTTCTGGTAGTGCTTGGTAGGTCATTCCACATTTGTGGAACTATGCATGAGAAGAGTCTGGATTGTCCTGAGCGCGGTGTAGACAATGCTAGCCGACGATCCTGTGATGACCGGAGCAGCCGGGCAGAGATGTAAGCATTTGCAAGAGGATTCAGGTAGATGGGAGCCATACCATCTCGGACATTGTATGCTATTGTTAGCAACGGTAACCAGTGGAGCTCAATGTGGGGTGATGTGTGCTATTTTTGGCTGATTGAAGACCAGACGTGCCGCTGCGTTCTGGACCATTTGAAGAGGTCTCACAGTACAGCCTGGAAGACCAGTTAGAAGGGCATTGCAGTAATCGAGGCGGGAGATGACAGTAGATTGCACCAGGAGCTGGGTGGCATGTTGTGTTAGGTATGGTCTGATCTTTCGTATGTTATTCAGCGCATAGCGGCATGAACGAGCAACAGAGGTAACATGATCTTTAAAGGTCAGGTGTTCATCAATCACAACACCCAGATTTCGAACTGCCTTTGAAGGAGCCAGAGTTTGGAAGCCATTTTGTATTGAGATATTGTGCTGCATGGATGGTTTTGCTGGGATGACAAGTTATTCAGTTTTAGAGAGGTTGAGTTGGAGATGGCGGGATTTCATCCATTTTGATATGTCAGAGAGACAGTTTGATATTCGTGCAGAGACAGTGTGGTCGTCCGGTGGAAATGACAGATAGAGCTGGGTGTCGTCTGCATAGCAGTGGTAGGAGAAGCCATGTGATCGAATGATCTCACCCAGTGAGGTGGTGTATATGACAAAGAGAAGAGGTCCTAGTGCAGAGCCCTGGGGGACTCCTGTGGCAAGATGGTGCACGGTAGAGGATTGTTCAAGCCAAGATACACTGAATGATCATCCTGTGAGGTACAATTCAAACCAGGCGTGTGCTTTCTCTGTGATGCCCATGGTAGAGATTAGTGTATGTATTGTATTGATGAAATACTGGCGATACGATACATATCACGACACAGGGGAGACGATTTATTGCAATTCATTCAGCCAGACCATAGTAGAGATTTTTTTAGACTGAATGTATTTGTAAAAAAAAATCAATAAACAGTCCAAACTGATTCATAACATGTTAATGATGAAGTGTCTGAACCATAATATAGGGATTTACATTACAATGCTGGAAGCAAAACCCATTGAACACTGTTGCCAACTAGCAGTCTGCGTTTGAATTGCACCAAAGGAAAAAAAATACACAAAAGTTTGCACGTAAAATGTTCCCAAAATTCAATAAATGGCTTTTGAATGTTGATATAATATTGTAGAAAAAATACCACAGTATATTGCCATATAGACATTCAGTTACATTCCTAGTGAATATAATGTGATTTAAAATTATTTTGCTTTGGTAAATGACAGCCTAGATTCTAGGCTAGCTTAAACCTACATTTTTGTTATATTTACAAATCATTTGTTTTACATTATTTTTAGTTAAATCTATCAAGAGCAACTGGAAGGTCCAAAGTGCTACTTGTTTAAGAGCCCTGGTTTAAACGCACGCGCACACGCACACACATTAAAAAGGACAACATTAAGATGAATGACATATATTTTTTGAGGTCTAAAAATATCTGTATTTGTATGATTAGTTAATATTTTAGAATGATTTTCATATTTTTTTCTCATACATTTTCTTATAACATGTTCTGTCTCTGTCGCTCGCTTATTTTATTCCATTTACAAAAGTAAATAAACACCCACCATGCAAGTATTTATCACAGACGCACTTACGTTTTTGGATAAGAGCGATCCTTGTGTGAAAACGTCCGTCGCTGCGACACCTTTGTATTTAAACATGTTGAATTAATTACAAAAATCTTCCAGATGGCGCTTTGATTTTTGGCAAAAACACGAACAAAGTTTGAGAAACGCCTAGTTACAAGTCCATGCATGACGGCAGAACCGGATAGCGACAGTAACAAAGTATCAAAGAATAACAATACTAATTTTAGCAGACCTACACAACAGGTTCAGGTACTCAGTGAAAGTTGGAGATAGAACCTGACGCGGCACGAGCGGCGGCGGCGCGCGCGCGCGCTGAAGTCCAGTTCAGTTTGCTGCCTTCAGGTGTCGTCTGAATTGTTACAACTTTCGCTCTAGTTGCAATGCCCACGTAAAAGTATATTTTTAATTGTGCAATTTTAATCAAAAAGCCTTAATAATATGCGTAAACAATAGATAAATAAATACAACAGCTGTGATTCATTGACTCATATTTTTTATGAGGAGTAAAACAATGTTTCTGACTGACAGATGCAGCAGCTGGAATTTCAAACAATCTCTTACAGATTAGTTATCTGGACAGTATCCACAAATTATATTAGTTTAAACTTTGAATGAACTTTTAGAAAACATAAAATTTTCATTTCAAAGAGGAGTCATTAAAATCATATCAAACACAAACAAAATAATATACGCATCATGGTTTAGGATCCAAATGCAGTGAGGTGGAGCGACAGGTTTCAAAAATGAAAGTTCCTAATTAAAGGAGACACCATGAGGAAACAACAACGAGTGAAGGACTGAGCTGCATTTATAAAGACAGGGAGGTAATGAGGCAACAGGAAATGTGTGATGATGACAGAGGGGTCTACAGGTGTGATTCATTGGCTAAGGAATGTAAGGAAACACAGAAACACTGGTGCTAGTGTACAGCAGGCCTCGCCTCTGTCAGTGTGCCCCAAGGCAGCTGTGGCTACATTGTAGCTCATCATCACCAGGTTGTGAATGTGTGTGTGTGAATATGTGGATGGCTGATTGTGTTGTGAAGCACCTTGGGGGGTTGTAGAACCCCAAGAAGATGCTGTGGGATAATCAATTCTGAGCCTGGAGGGCTGGTATCCAGCACATTTTAATTACTCTGTTTCAACACACCTGATTTCAATCAGCAGGTGATTAGCATGTTTCTGCAGAGCCTGAGGAGCTGCTGCACAGGTGATTCAACCACTGAAAGTGTGTTGGAGCAGAGAAACCACAAAACATGTTGGATACTGGCCTTCCATGACTTGAATATCCTTATGCTATATAAATACAGTCCGTTTACCATGTGGGACACACAGCTCCAATTGAAATGTAGCTTTATGTAATATGGCAAGGTTATTTGTTTTTTTATTTACAAGGTTTGAACACTTTTATTGTTTAGCAGCTTAATATAAATGAATATGGATTGTAAGACCGATGATGACATGATGTTTACAAGGTTTATTTTGGTTTTGAAACCAAACTATAGTCACAGTGTGAGTTTCTCTAAATAATCCAAACATTACAGATTTCAATAACATCATTTAATTACAGTATTTCATAAAACTTTGAAAACCTTCCTGTTTTACAGGCAACAGAAATACTTTAATATTAGTTTAACCGATTTCACATATTAAGTTTTCTTTTCTTTTTTATTTTAATGGGGAAAATAATACTGTGCACCTACAAATATATAGTGCATGTTTCTGTAGCGGAAATCCACTTTTTTTTATTCTCAATTCACCTTAACGGGATCCACACGGAGAAGAACAATAACATTTTCGCACAAAGGTTTCTTTCACACTTAGCAGAAAAAAGGGGGAATTTGAAACTGGCCTACAATCATATAAATTCCAAGATACCATTTTCGAATGTCTGGCTAACTCCTACATTTTCTCCCAGGAACGTCAATTTTACCAAGTGACTTGTTTTTCCCTCCTTAAGCTATCGAGAAGCCGGACATTATCAGGACTTGGTCTGTCTTACCTCAACCTGCCAAGAACTCTCTCCCCAAGGCCTGGTGCTCGTAAAAACTTCTCAGGGGTCATTCTGGAAGGTTCCAGGATTTAGTCTTTATCAAAACCATGGTATTTTTCTGTTTATCCACAGTCAAAAGGTGTTTTAGTTTGCTTCACCATTAAAATTCAAGGTGATCCAAGTAAATGTTTAAACTTTTATCAGTTACAAACCTAAACTGCTTGTGTTGTGTTTTTTCTTTCATGTTAAACTTCTGCCATTGTTTCACCAGTTCAAAATCATGCTAAAGTGATACAGTCAAGCTTAAGACCTGAAGTTAGTAATTTTCTGTTTAAAGTAATACTTTTTGAGGCCCTATTTGGAATAACTTGGTTAAAATTGTGAGCATGAATCTCTCATGGTTGAAGACTGGGTTATTTGAAAGAGCCACAGTGCCATCAAGTGGTTAATGAGTGAAATACATGTAGGTGTGACCAAGAAAGTTTATAAAACCCATAGTTCAGACCTCGTGGTGGGGTAGAAAAAGAGAAAAGGATGCCTTAAGTACAAGTCCCTGCGGGCTGTTTCCATCTGGCCTAGCAGAACCCGGCGCTTTACAGTTGTGAAGTAATTAGCTCTCAAAAGTTACGGTAAAACTTAGAAGCAACTCAGTTAGTTTTGTTTTGACTTCCTACATGAAACCGGAAGTCTGCGTGTTCGGTCGAGTTCTCACATTAAGAGTTAAACCCAATTTCGAACAGTTTCTCTGATTCGATCTCATTTGGATAATTCAAACTTGCGGTCTGAATTCCATGTTTGGGTGCAGCTGGAGGAACCTAAGGGTCAAGCCACAATCGAGGAGAGCCACACATTCCCTTGCTTGACCGACCAGGGACCGAAGCCAGCACCATTTAATCCAAAAAAGGCCCCGGCACGAGCCAGGACCCCAGGCTGTGGCAGTCGCTGGCTACCCTTCCAGCGAAGGAAAAAGGTCTGTGAAGCATCTCATCTGGCTGGCTTTTGTGCTAAGCCCGATTAGTGAATTCAGATTAGTCCATTTCTTTTAAGGCGTGTTTTATTTCGATCCCAAAATCACGTTTAGCCCTCAAGATCCCCTTTCTTCTTCTGCCATAACGAGCCACACGAACACACTCAAACACACACACACACACACACGCACGCACGCACGCACACACACACGTACACACACACACACGTTGTTCTCCTTTCAGAAATTGTTCCTAATAGTTACTATAATCCTATGTGTCACCAAATTTCCACTTTATTACAAATCAGTTATTCCATATCACTGCCATAAAGCTTTGGGTTAACAATTGTTTTAATTCCATGCATGAAACAATAAGCTGTGTTTGGTCCTTTTGTCCATGCCTTAACTGATGTTTGTAATAAACTAACACAACCTAAATAATGCCTGATCATTGTCTAGCAATTCTCGGGAATAATCGGCACATTCTGTCAAGAATTCATCCTTTAGATTAATTTGTGGTGTTAACTCTGAGACTGATTACATTGTGAAGATATAGATATTAAATCCAATGGTACAGTTCCGAAAACTGGTGGTGCCACGATTAATTAATATAAGATTAAAAACAAGCTAAATCTACGCCACATTTGAAATATAGATATAAATCTATATTTATCGCTACATTTCTTTCATTCAAATGTACACTGCAGACATTAAAGCATTGGTAGTTTGCGTGTGTACAAAAAAAAGCAATGTCAAATCTTTGCATGGCCACTGAAGATAAGTTTTATTAAGATCAGGCTCTGTAATGCATTAAAGTGACACAAAATGACAAAAGAAGGTTTAACACATTGAATAGGTTTCTTCAAAGCCATTTCATGTTAAACGCTCTTGGAAGGACGTGGCAGCACCAGCTTCAGTGCAAAATCAACCATACATGAAGGTAAGTAGGAGATGGGGATCCAGAGCAGCTTGGCATCCCAGCCAGCGCTGTACCGAGCCCGTGGGTGGGCAGCTGTTAGAGCATGCTCCATGCAGCTGGTCACTTTGGTGAGGTCTGAGTCACAGATAACGGTCATGATCAAACGCTGGAGCTTAATGACTGAAAGAAAAGTCACATATTGTTAGTGCACGCTGAGTCATTTCTTCTCTTTACAGCCAATAAAATTCAGGTGTAGAATAAAATTCCAGATACACAGTCAGACGTTACATATAATTAGAAAAGAAAGCGAGATAACATTGAAGTCGATTATCCTTACATTTATCCAGGTACTTCTCTCCATAGCTGGCTTTTACTTCAGGGCTGAGCTGGTTCCACAGACGATGCAGCTCACTCTCGAGGGAATCAAGGTTGGTCACGGCGGTCTTGAAAAATCCCGGCTCAATGATGCATACTTTGATACCAAAATAGTGTATATCTCTCCTGAAAACGAAAAAAAAAAAAGGTGCAGTAGTTAAGAGTAGTAGTTATACTCGTTCCTTTTCAGATCTGGCTGCTGAGCTTCATACATAAATATATTATTTCTGTGTTTGTTCCTAACATGCATCGTGCATGCCACTGACTTTGGTAGTTTTAGCCAACAAAGCCTTTACTTCACCTTCTGGCTGTATGAAGAGGTGTTTAAAGTTTTCGAGATGCTTTCCTAAAGTATACTCTTGTTCTAGGACTCGATTCAAAAGCAATCAGGCCATTCACATGTTGTCATAGGCAGATCAGAAGGTCAGATCAATCAGATTTATTGCCATGTAGGTGAAAGGTTCGTCTACTAGAAATTTGTTTCAGTGGCAAGGTGCAAACATACATTCAAGTCAATGTCAGGTCAGGCAGTAGGATACATCAAATAATCAGAAAAGAAACATAGCCACGAAACAATCATAAGTGTAGGAATGTGGGTGACTGGGGCATTTCTGTGTGTTTCTCAGCATCAGTGATGCTGAAAAAACTAAAACCCCAGTTATTTATGTCCACGAGCAAATGCTAAAAATGGAGAATTAGCAAATCTCTTCTTTGGTCAGTTTTTGAAAGAAAACATTTTGTGCCATACATCTTCACTGTGTTTGGATGACAGGCCAAACTGCAGAAAAATATTGTTTTGAGCGCTGCATATTGTAATGTCCAGCAATGGTCAGTTTTTAGGTACAGTTTGACCATTCAACATTTGGTCAAAATGGAGACACGAGACTACATGTGTTCCCTCTAAATCGGCCTGCCTTCATCCCATCAGCTGGAGCCCAGAGCCTCTCTGCAGCTCTGAACACATGATCATGTATTGTCAACAATGATGTTCTCTCCTCAAGGTCCAAGTTTCCCTTATCGTCCTACAGTATTTTTCATGCCTTTGAATAAGGAACATTTGGATTAGCTGCTAAATCAAAGAATGATTTCTTAAAATAAATATGAACTTTTTAAACTTATAAGTTAAATAATCATTAAATAAACATTTGTTTATTTCTACTTATGATAATTATAATGAAATGCTTTCATTAATCTGTGCTTGAGTGACTGAAGTTTGAAATGAATGTTATGTTATGATTACATTGAAAGGTTTATATATGTTTCAGCATGTTGATATGACAAGGTCATCACCGTTTGCACTCACACAAGGACAAAGTAAAGTTAACACAAGTTAACACAAGGACAAAGTAAAGTTAACACAAGTTAACACAAGGACAAAGTAAAGTTAACACAAGTTAACAAAAGGACAAAGTAAAGTTAAGTCAAACATGTGAGCTAAATAAAATTTACTCCACCGTCAACAGCAATAATAGGATGAGTTGCCCTTTTTGGGGCAGTTTTTGTATTTAGCCATGTTTTATTGTGTCTCACCTGAGGCAATCAGAGAAACACTCCACTGCAAACTTGGAGATGCAATATCCACCACCATTAGCCCCTACCCTCCCCAGCACTGAGGCCACATTTACAATCCGTCCACGGGCCTTTTTGATAAGAGGCAGGAAGGTCGTTGTCATGCCGATCACGCCATCCATGTTCACTTTCAGCGTGCTATGATAATCCTCCACTCTCATCCACTCTGAAGGGCCCATGGGTAGTGAACGTCCAGCATTGTTCACTATACCCCAAAGTCCTGTAAGGAGAATAACAAAGAGAGTTTTGAGTGCTAGATATAATTAACTGATGTCCTATGTAATTAATCGCCATTTCTCACCTTTATCACCGACCTCCTTCTTGGTCCACTCCATGGCTTTCTGGATGCTATCCAGACTGGTCACGTTCAGCGGGACGGTTTTCAAACGAGAACTTGTCGCTCTTTTCAGATCATCGGCTCCCTTTTCTGTGAGGCAGCCGGCCAGAACGTGAAAACCTCTGCGGTCCAGATTCTTACACAGAAGGTTTCCAAACCCCGTGTCACAGCCAGTTACAAAAACGTACTTATCAGAAAAGTCCTGGATCTCCAGGCTGTCTCTGTACAGCCACACAAGAATCCACAACACTGCAAAGGTGGCAGCGATGTAATACCAGGCATTTTCCCTGCAAAAGACCTGATTGTTATATACAGTATACAGCTAAGCTCCGTTCCAAATGAAGCTAAAACTAGTGCTCAGCGGAGATATTTCTTACCCTAAAAGATCATAAATAAACTGTGTGTCCATCTTGGTTTCAGGTGTGTGTTTTTGGTTGTCTGATTGCTGAAAAAACATTCTGTCAAACATAAAAATGAAAGTATTGTTAGAAATTTTACCAGATTCCTGTTCCTATTCACCCGTATTCATTTGCACATTCTTGACAGCTACTGAACACAATAACTTGATTCACAATATCTCGAGTTAAAGAGATTCTTGCAGTAAAGAACTGCTTTGGCTTCTGTGGGCACATGAGAAATCTTTGGATAATACGCTTAAGAAAAGAAAGAAAGGCATTTGTAAAGGAGCGAGACCCAAGGGGATTACGCTATTTTAGGGTACAATTTTAATACCCATGGTAGAGCTGCTTAGCTCATTGCTGCAAACTAATTAGTTTGGCTTGTAGTAAGTCAAACAGCATCGGAAACCTGTCATGTGGTGCTTGATTGGCTAGAATTGTTACTTAAAGTAACACAAAACAGTTTTTAACACTTTAAGCTATTCCTTTAAAAGTGGTTTTAGTGACTGTGTAAACTTTACCATCTTCACCCCGAACAGCACTCTGCAGCCCTCTGCAGACCAGAAACCACATTTAACAGTTTTGTGGAGCGGGTAATTGCTCTATGGGGGTGCACTTTACCTGCTTTATGGCTGTTAGTAGTTTTGCTAGCAGTTAGCATTTTCAGTTAGCCGATTGGCTATAAAAACCACAAGAAGAAGTAAAAGTTGTAGTTTGCTTTTTTGTTAGCATCATAGCAGAGTCTGGATGTAACAGTAAGAGAGTAATGTCTTTGGAGGCGAAGCAAAGAGCTAAAACCAGAGTGGACATCGTCGCAGCCTACAGTTGTTTGAGGGAACGAAAGGAGGCTAGGAAATCACAGACTGATGGTGACCTGGCTTTGTTGCTACTGGACTATAATATTTTAGTAAATTTAAGTAGATCTTTTACTTTGTGTTTTATTTTAATATTAGTTAGTTTATGTTAGTGTTAGCTTGTTGCAGGCTACAGCAGGGTTGTCTACGACAGTTGTGATTATACTTTCAACCAGTAGAACGGTGGGGCAGAAAACTGCTTAGGGTTACTTTAAAGTCAAACACTGGGAATTGAAGCAGAAATCACAAATTTTTAACTAAACAATATATATATATATATATACCGGTATATATATATATATATATATATATATATATATATATATATATATATATATATATATATATATATATATATATATATACCGGTATATATATATATATATATATATATATATATATAATTTTCTTGAAATTTCATATCCTCAGAAATTACATAAAAAGTGAAAGCAACAATCACAAAATTACTTGTTTTTACTGGTTTACAGATGGAAGAATAAAAAGCCTATAATAGTTTGACATTTTCAGTTATGCATATTAATTTAGGTTTTCTTACTGCAGTGGATGAAAAAAGTGGCATCAGCTTGAACATAACAGAAGATAGTGGCCATCTTCTCAAAACCTACATTTTTTTCCAGAAATATTAATCTGATATTATAGCTACATTTCAGATCTTTAGGCAACCACTGTACACCAAAAACATAAAACTATTGCACAATATCTTTTTATATATTCACGAATACATTTAGGGCATCAAGGATAAAATATCAACTCCACTTATTGAAAAAAAGCTTTCAAACAGCAAAAAATAAATAAAAATAGAAGTTTGGACTTATTTAAACATAATATTTAATTTAAACTGTTTTACAGGATAGCAACAAAGATTAGTATATTTAGTGTAACTGAGTTAATTCACGTTCAATCTTGTTTTCAATAGAATTTTTTTTATGTTGCTGGAAATTTATAAAATAACGCAATGCTTTCATAAAAACTTTAACCCAAGTAAAATTTAGATGAATTGTTTTTTGGGTGGATTTAGAGGGCTCTTGGTTTTCTTTCTTGTAACTTTTCATATTTGTGCCATTTAGCGACATTGGACTTAAAATCATAAACAAACAGCCATCAAAAAAAAAAAAAAAAAACAAGATGACATTACCTTCTTCCTCTTGGTGAAAAGAAGCAGACCTTCACGCTGTTGGCGTCCTCCCTCGGTAGTAACTGTTCAGATTTGGCCCACGGTGGCTGGTCAAAGAGAAACTTTATCCCTGTAGTTTATCCCTCAGGACAGGTCTGCTATTAGTAATCCTCAATCCACAACCATTTCATTAGTGTGTGTGTGTGTGTGTGTGTGTGTGTGTGTGTGTGTGTGTGTGTGTGTGTGTGGACGAAAGGGGGACAAGTCCCCAAAAGAACATTGTTTTGCAAGTCTTGGGTTTCAGAGAACGTTTGTACCAAGTTCAAACTCACAGCAATCTGAAATTATACAACTTCTGGTTGGTTGCAAAAGGTAGACACAAGTTTAAATAACTATTTTAGAGTCTGTGTTTCTTACTTTATACAGAAACATATCATTGGAAAAACCATTTAAAGCTCATTATAATAATCATTTTACTAACCTTACATAAAAGGTTGTTTTTCTGAGCCAGTCTGCATTTAAATCAGCAGAAAACTAGTCTTTATACATTGGATTGATATCATGCATTTATATTTTTTATGAACCCTCCCAAAATGTAGAAAATAATAATTATTCTAAATGCTTTACAGCTAGTTACAGGAAGGCAGCGTATTAACTTAATCTTGGTAAATGTTGTAAAATTTGCACATACATCCAATTTAAAATGATTCCTTTTATTGTAGCTTATAGGAGGTTAATTAGTTACCCAACATGTCTGTAACTATGTGAATGAACTCTGCAGATTTTATTGTCAAGTAACTTTTCTTCACGTCACACATTCCAGGGGTTGTCTAATCTTTCCAACAAGGCAAACATTTATCCAGCCATTGTATTCATATGGTTATGTAAGGACGTTTGCTGCAAAACTTTGTCCAGAAATAGTGGAACACTTTTACTTTCGTAACAAGTCCAATTAAGTGTTTGTCAAATATAAATGTGCTCAATTCTCAAACCAATCAATGTGTTATGTTGTATTATTGCTAACAGAAATCATTGATGGTTTATTTATTAACAGTAAACATATGCCTGACCTTAATGTGACAAGATTTATTTATAAACTATCGTTTCTAAGTTAATAGAATATTGTAAAGAAAAAAAATCAAAAGTTCCATTTTTATTAAAATCATCCAAAACTACATGGCAGCAACAAAAACAGCCAACTTCTGCAAAAACGTGTTTAGATATGTTAGCTACGGTGCAAAAAGCAAATCCAGAGGTACCTCAGACAGTGAGTGGTAGTAATTTGTCTGTGACGCCTTAGAGTTTTCATAAGTTAACCTTATTTTCTCCACTTATTAAAGGTATATTCAGCATTTACCCAAAAATAAATAACTATTACAGAGAAACATCCTGACAAAACCTGCTGAAAGTATTCTTGTTTTTCCTCAGACATCATCGTGTGCTCATCCTCCTGATGACGAACCAAACACCTGGTCAGTGAAACGTGTTTAAACTACAACAAACTACTGTGAGAAACCCACTTTGGTCCTCTCAGAGCAGCAGGCAGAGTTTTAATAAGCTCCACCAGTCTGGACTCTTGTTTTATTCCAGTATAGTTGTCCCAAACATATGGAGAGGTTTACGAAGCAGCAGACTGAAGCTGGCCCTTGTGTACATACTCCAGAGCTGTGGCAATCGTTCTCATGTCCATTTCAATACTGCGAGCCCAGTTCTCAACATCCCCAATTTCCTGTTTGAAAGAGAATGCACAGGACAAAGTTAGTAGCTGGCACCTTGTTCAACTGATAATTTAAAGCAACAACAGATGTTTTTTAAAACGTTAAGCTAGAGCTTTAACATATGATTGTTGGGTTATGTACCCAAATACAAGTGGCTGAGGGCCACATAAAACAAATTCCTATTTTTTAGGGGTGGTGGGAAGGTGGGATGCTGTTTGAAAAAGTTCTGAGAGATGACTGAACCAGTGATATGGCAGGTATGTAGTGGTCCTTCTGCAACATTATAACAGAGTGAAGGGTCCGGTCCCGGGACCAGGAAGAGGAGGCTCGCGGGCCACCTATTGAGTACCACTAAGTTAGAAACTTGACCAGTTTCATATTTGACACACATCTGCAGCACTCTACTGACCAAAAACTGCACTAGTTTTTTTTTTGGAGTGGATAGGTGTTCTAGGGCTTGCTCTTTATCTGCTTCACGACTGTTAGCTGTAATGCTAGTGGTTAGCATTTTCAGTTTGCCAAGCATCAACAACATGCACAAGAGTTAGAAAAAGAAGTTTGCTTTTTCTGTTGGCATCATGGCGGAGCCTTGAAGTAAAAGTAAAAGAGTAATATCTTTGGAGGTGAAGCAAAGAGCTAAAAACAGAGTGAACCTGCATTAGTTTTAAGAAGCTAAAAGAGGCTACAAAATCACTGAGAGATGGTGACCTGGCTTTGTTGCTGCTGGACTTGAAAGTAATAATTTTTTTCTCCAAAAATCTTTTTACTTCGGGGTTTAATTTCATCAGCTGGCTCATGTTAGTGTTAGCTCGATGTTAGCGCCGCTAGCAGGGTTGTTTATGACAGTTGTAATTCCACTATGAACCAGAAGGGCAGAAGAGCAGGAAACTGCTCAGTGTTACTTTAACATTCACATGTAAAAAGATAATTTGCAGCTACTTTCAAGGGAAATGTGAGCTGACCCCACTTCCATAAAACAGATCTGCTCTTTGCCAACTCACTAAATCAAAAGTACTGTGAGCCCTGATAAACAGGCATTATATTTCACCTCACGAGGGAAAACCAAAAAACACAGTAAGCTACTTTCTTCTTTAAAACAGCACTTCAGATTATATACCCCACCTTTAAAGCCTGATTGAAACCCTCCACCATGCTGATCCACTGAGCAGTTTGCTTGGAGAACTGGCTCGCCTGTACCTGCAGTGTCTTCACTTCATGGTCCAGTTTGCGTTGGTTTACGTATGCCTGAGCGACACTTAGATAAAGCAGAACACAAGTATGGGCTTGAATGCATTTTCAATTAATTAAGTATTGCATTAGTTATTGTAGAGCATGGGTGTCCTCAAGGGCCCCAATCAAGCATGTTTTAGTTGTTTCCCTGTGCCAAACACTCTTGATTCAATGGTTGAATCAACTGTTCAGACTGTGAATTAGATGCCGGTTTAAATCAGGTGTGTTGAAGCAGGGAAACATGTAAAACATGCTGGGTGGTGGCCCTCGAGGACTGAAGTTTGGGACCCTGTTTCACAAAGGGGTAAATTTCCTTTGGTAGATAAGTGACTTCAAAGAAATACCTAACTAGTGAAATTCTGACCATGTCATGAAAAGATTTTACTTCTAACCTTTTACCTAAATCTAGAGAACCGCAATGGTCTTTCCATCCCTCTCTTGCTATTGAAGCTGATTGCCTCATCTTTCACAACAATCGCAATATTACCTGTGTTTTATATTTTGTTATCCTGCTAGGAATAAACTGCAACAAGCAATGTATGCAAAATATTACCCAAAGCTTGTTTCAGTTTAATTAGAGAAGATGTCCATACAAGAGTACAGTTAACACAGTGTCCTACAAACACTTAAAATATCCAGGCATGAATTCTACCATCTGATCAAATTAAACCCTTTTCAAAAGGGCATGCAAGTTGCATGTAATAACATTTTCTAAAATCATGTTTTAATACTAAATTAGTGCAATATTTTAGCAAACATTGCAAATTATAGACCAGTAAGCTTTTTCACTTTAATTTGTTTATAAGTCTGAATAAAACAACACATGGCTATATTTATTTTCACAATATTTTCCTACTATTTTTGCTTTATAAACACAACCCAAACAAAACAATATACTGTGGCAAGCCTAACTATTTTAGTATAATAATTTGAACTTAAAATAAAGATACTTATGTAAAAAGCAACATAACCCTTAAAATACTCATATAAAACTTAAAAAGCAGAGTGACTATTACGTCACACGTTTATGGCTGTTTCATTTGCCAGAGAGAAATGTTTTTATGTCATACCCAACGTTGAGATGGTCTACTAGAGCTTCGGTCAGACAGGTGGCTGCTGCTATTGCTTCACGTCTGCGTTTCTCTAAGCAAGAAGAAACAAGAAAAGCATAAGCACCTTAATTAGGGGTTTGTTTTTAGCATTAGCAGCATTAGCGTTAGCTAACGGTGAGGTCCTGTTTACTCACCCTGCAGCTCCTTCCGCTCGTTTTGCTTCGCCTGGTGTTCCTTTAGCAACCGAGACAGCATATTTTTTCCTTTGTCGGGGTAAATGATATCAACGTAGTTATCTGATAAACCTTTTATTAATCTGACAAAGGTATCAGCTGACCAGCAAGGGAGTCACGAGACCAAGCGCGAGGAAGTCAAATGTGGCTGTGACTTCAAAGTGCGCCATCTATCGTCACAGTTTTCATGGCTCATTGTTTTCTAACAACTAACTCAATGTTTGGAAAGCTATTGAATTCTAAAATATTGTGCAGAAACTTAAGTATTTGAATTTTTATCGTTTTATTTGTAAAAAAAATCATAAAAATTAACAAAGTACCGTTAGAGTCGTCTAAACAACAATGTTCGAATAACCAAACTAACACACACAACGTTGCAGTAGTATTGTAAAAATCTGTTTTTTATGATAAGTATTGCATGAGGATGTATTGCAGAGACAACCAGAAAGAGGAAACGAGCAATAATAAGGAATTATGTGTGCTCTCAATAACATTTCTGCATCACTGAACTATCAAAACGGATGTTTTTGACAAAGAGGGGCATATTTGCCAAATAAAATATTAACAAAAATAATACTTGTATTTGGTCTTTCCATTCCGATCAAACTGCCAAACTAACTGTATCTTACTTACTTCTTTCAATTCATATAAAATATTTTCAAATCAATATTTTGTTTTGTGGTAAACTTTATTGTGAAAATCGTGAACCGGAAGCGCTGCTTCTCTTTAAGCTAGCGGAATTAGTGTGGCCAAATCTGCTTCCTAACTGTCAACATTCTGGATTTGGACGCTTGGTCCTTTATTTCCCCTGCTTGCCAGGTATCGACATTGTATTTTATTTTGAATACTAACTTCTTATTAAACAATTGTATTGATTCAAATAGTCGTCTGAGTTCTGTTAGCATTACTTACACGAGTTAATGGATACTTAACTCAGCCCCGTTGCTCGTTCTGAACCTACCTCGACGGACAAAGTTGCACCAAGCTAAGTATCTTGTCTGTTAATAAGAAGGTGTATTATTATAGTTTTGAATCTTATTTAAACTATTCTTAAATGATTTTCTTAGGCTTACAAAAGGCTAGTGCTTGTCTAAACGCTCACTGGCTAACAAGCTATAAACATGACTGATAAGGCTAAAACAGCCACACTTAACGCAAATAGCCTCATTAATTTTATGATGGTAAATTGGCTTAGTTTATTAGTCGGCGGGACGAAAGTTCTAAACCACAATGTACACGCTGGTGTACCCGGTACGTGTTACGAATGCACCGAAATGTTAAAAGTTTCGCTGCTCACTGTAAATGGATACACCTTGAGATGGCGGGTGAGGTATTAACACATATTGAGAAGGTCTTCAAAAAGTCTTGAAAAGGTATTCAATTTAACTTTAAGATTCCTGCATATGCCCTGTAAAAGGTTTCATTGTTTTGAAGAATATACTTTCAGTGTAGATGGGTTGAATGAAACCCTTTTAGCTCAATTGATAATGAGATTTTCAGTTATGGAGAGTACTCATGTTCTAGGAATAGCAGAGATTAGCCCACATGTATTGTGGAGCTATCATAATGCTCATTTTCCTCAAGATGGAAGTGCCACATATCCATGTGGGTGGAGTACTTGATTCTGCAGATGTGAAATAAGTATTTATGCAAACACAATATTTAAAATTCCCTGAAATTTGAATATTGTTTCCATTTTTTATGATGAATCTGCCTCATGTGCACATTTTTTCTTAAAACATCCTCCTCAACATCTTTTGGGCCATTGCACCATATCATATCTTCTTGTATTAGACTTACAACCCGTTTCATCAAGTTAACAGCATTGTTTTTTTCCTTATTTACAGGTTGTTTCTTGGTAGCTAAACTACAATCCAGTGTTATGGCTGAACCATGAAAGCCCAATTGCAAGTCACTGGTGAGTTTTCATCAATGCAGCGTGTAAAACACATTTTCTATGACAATGTTGTAACTTTTCTTTTTGCATCAGATAGTTCGATTTCAGCAATTGAAGTCGATCAATCCATGTATGACTTGACCCATCGTGGTCATTGTCTTTGGTTGAAAAATGCATTGTCTCATAAGTGATTGGGAAAAGTACACCGCTCATACACTGATTTAAAAGCTCAGTCATCCACATAGGACCTTTTAAAAAAACAATAAACTTGTGATTAAGAATTAAAAAAAGAAATAATGGAACAAAACAATCAGAGATCCCAAAATAATAATAATCATGAAAAAAATTAAGCTCTCAATTTAAATTAGATTAGAAATGGATTATCTGTCAGAATTAGATTTAAATATGCAATACGTAAGAATTCCACAGTAAAATAATCACTAAACAGTCCAACGTCTATGGAAGGTTACAGTGAAACAGATTTTATTCTCAGTCGGCTGAGTGGAGGTCTTAGATGGGCATTGTTTACAATCTTTCCTGCCTCCATTCTTCCTTGTTCCAGAGCCAGTCATATTTGGCCACTTTCACATCTGAGTGAGATTTTGTTCACACAGCCTTCTCAGGAACGCAGATCTCCCAGAGCATGTGAGCGGGGCAAAAGACGAGCAAAGTCTGTGGTGTTCTCTTTAAATTAGGAAACAGAAGCGGCCGTCAGCAGACTCCATGAAGCAGACAGGTTCGTACTGTCTCAATGAGCAGTGGTGCTGCAAGCCAGAAAGCAGGTTCGAAAAAGTGGTCGGCCGAGCACAGAAAACGTACCGATAACCTAGGTGTGAACACAATTAACCTACCAGGGCTGGGCTGGGCCGACCCAGCTGTGAATGCGCTATTTGAACCCACAAGGTTGCCAAGTCTGCGCCCGCAAATACGTCGTCCACATATGCCATTAGACACTGACGGCCATAGAGTAGAGGTGCATATCCTTTTTAAATTGTTCTTTCATGTGCTTGAAATCCTTTAATGATTGTAGATTGTGTTTTTAAGTAGGGCTGCTCGATTTTGGCAAAAAAATAATAATCACATTTATTTTGATTGAAATTGAGATCTTGATTATTTGACACAATCTTTAGTTAGTGTTGATAACACGAAGTTGTTTAACACTAACAGTGGCTTTTAAGCAGCTTTAAGATTTCAGACCAATCTTAATATTAAATGTGTTGTTGTTCATGCTGTTTATGTCCTTTTTCAAGTGCTGTCAGCTAAGCTGAAGGAAAACAAAAAGATCTGGTTTGGTCCCAGTCCATACGTGGAGGTAGCGGTGGATGGCCAGTCAAAGAGAACTGAGAAGTGCAACAACACACACAGTCCCAAATGGAAGCAGGCCCTCACAGTGTGAGCTCAGCTGTTGTTCATCTAGTTGCTGTAATTTGTTTACATCGTTCCCTGAGCTTCTGAGGTCCTCACCATCTCACCTGTCATTATTCCTCTGCAGAATTGTGACTCCCGTCAGCAAGCTGGTTTTCCGTGTTTGGAGCTATCAGACTTTAAAAGCTGACATCCTTTTGGGGATGGCTACTTTGGACATTAGTAAGACTCTCAGAGCCAATGATCTGAAATGTGAGTTTACACAAACGTGTCTTTAGTTGTGCTTATTCTTTTCCCTCCTCTAACCTTATTTTCCACCCTGTTATTTTCAGGATGTGTTTGTGTCTAACGGTAGATTTTTACCTACACATGAGCACAGAGCTGATATTTTAGTGTTTTATAGATCATCCCCACTGATTATTATATATTTTAACAGCTTGAATCCTTTTATAATCTCAGCATCAGTATTAATATACGATATTTATATGTTTTGTTTTGTCCCCTCCATAGTGTGTGAGGTGGTGCAGACGCTGCAGCTGAGCTCTGACAGAGACCCTCAGGATGTTGTTGGTGACCTGTCTGTCTGTCTGGACGGCATGCAGATAGACCCAGAAGCCTTTGATTTGGCAGAGAGAGAACAGAGTAAGAAAACACAAGTTAATTTATCAGTTTTTTTTTATTTTTATATCTTCTGTTAGATTTGTTTTTAACACGTTATCAGGTTGGCATCCCACCAACTGTGCTGCAGTACGTTACTAGTGTTGTCGTTACACGTTTTATCCACTAGAGGGCACAAGATTTATGCATGTAGCTGTAAAATATTCATCATTCAAATTTTGTATCACAGGTTAAATTTCCTGTTAGTGAAATCTTGTATTCACTTAAAAACAATTTTTGTTGAAATCTCTGGTGTTCATTTAATGTTTTTAAATAACAAAAAACACGTCCATTTTGACAGAAATTGCACATTTAACCTCATAAGTGATGCAGTTTTTTTCTCTTTTGTTCCTAGCCTCTGTTCTAAATGGAAACACAAGACAAAATGGCAGCAGCAACAGGTCTCATGAATTTTTTATTTTGTATTTAAACCCACATTTTAAATGGAATAAGAAAGCCTTCTAACTTTTACATCCTGGATTATTTTGAGAGTGGAAAAAAATAATTTTTGTTCTTTTAGATCAAGTAGGGACACGTCTCCATCCAGTGACTCAGACGAGTGGGTCATTGTTCCCAATGGTCTTGCTGTCCCTAGTACAGACTCTAACTCCCCATCTCCAGGGGGCTCTAATGCTTCACGTCTTCCCAGACCTCTACCTTCCACGCCATGTAAACCCGCGTCCTCATCGAGTAAGAAGCACGAGATAATGGATGTACCTTTGCATGTGCAGATGTTTGCCACACACTCAGCTCTGCAGATTCGCTCAGTTTGAACTCTTCTGTATTATTGTCTTTTCTGCTGCCAGCCTCCTCCAGCAGTTCTTCTCCTAGCGAGCTAAGTGAAGCTCCAGCATCAGATGGTTCCTCTCAAGCTTCAGCAAGCGGATGCTCTGACCCGCCGGATGAATCAGGAACTCGAGCTGCAGTAGCAGTTTCCGCACAACAACCAAGTGGTCCCAAACCAGGCAGCGCCATCACTGCTGCTCCAGCTGCAACAACGCCCAGAGTCACTCCTGTTAACAACGGCCCCCTGCCACCAGGGTAAAGAACACGTCACCAATTTTCTAACTTATACTTTACTGAATCATGAATCTACATTTATACTTCACCTGTTTCCTTTTCAGTGTGTAGTGTCTTATGGGCTGTGAATGAGTCAATAAACACAGAGGCAGTGAGGCAGACGCTGCATTGTACCACTTTAGCCAGCAGCGATGGCTGATTCAAATGTAGTACAGACTTTTAACCTGAAGATGGCGCCACATTAACAGTTTTAGCCAGAATGTTTTTATTTTAAAGCTGTTATGGCAAATCTGCAAACCAACAAACAGGGTCATAGCGCAATCACCCCTCCTCTCAGGTATCTTCTGCTGGAACATGAAACCTGTAATGTTGAAGGAAACAAGATGGCGCTAAACACCAGTCGCAGTTTTCTAGGTACAGACATCTTTTGTTGTCCGTGACTTCAAATGATGTATTTGTTTCTGGGACTCTGGTAGTTTGTCCTAAAGGTGAAGTTGTAGCAGCCGGCTGTTTCTCCTTCTCTGATGTTATTTAGCACAGAACCTCTCACACCAGTGGTGTTCTGTACGCGACAGCGTAACGAATGGAGGACCCAGGGAAGTGCAGCGGTACGGCCAGACCGACAACCAGATGGTCCAACAATTGCTTTTGGTCTGAATCGTGTTATTGGCGGAGGTTTTTCAGACAAATGCAAGAGAATCACATTATTATTTATTTTTAATCTCCACAACATGTTTATTATGTTAGAATGTTGTTAAGGTGCAAGAAAAATGTTTTAAACTAATTTGTTTTACAAATACGCCTTTGTAGCTTTAAATAAGATGCACTAAAATGCCAAAGTAATGATCACACATATCTACAGCACTATTAATCACACGTTTATAAAGTTAATCAGCAAAACACAAAGTTGGTTTTGGGGTGACTTGTTCTTTAATCTTTCAGTTTTGCTGCTAAATGATGCAGAAAATAGTTTTTCTTAATTCACTACAACCATTTTGTTATGATTTACATTGTTTATGCAGATGGGAGCAAAGAGTGGACCAGAGTGGACGGGTGTATTATGTGGACCACATAGAGAAGAGGACAACATGGGACCGGCCTGAGCCGCTACCATCAGGGTACCAAAAAGCAAAATCTGCATTTACAAATTCATACATGTAAACATTCACAGCCACATTTCATTTACTTTAAGCACTCGTATGTTTTTATACACATTATCTTTTTGTTCTGGAGGTGGGAGCGGAGGGTGGACCCGATGGGTCGAGTGTATTATGTTGACCACATAACACGAACTACGACGTGGCAGCGGCCCACGCAGGAGTCAGTGCGGAACTATGAGGAATGGCAGCACCAGCGCAGCCAGCTCCAGGGAGCGATGCAGCAGTTTAACCAGAGGTTCATTTATGGGGTAAGAGACGCTACCTCATCTATTTCACCTGAGGGGTTTACCTGTGACTTATTGCACGGATCATAGTGCTGAGCTCACTTTTTGTGTTGACTTTTAGTCCTGGTTTACATTGATAGTATTTCTTTAGTTATTTATTTTTGATTTAAATGACCCTTTAGTTATTTTACGCTCCTAATTGTGTGTTAAAACAAAACTTTGACCAGTAGAAGTTTCAAAATGTGCTGTTTGGAAGTGGAACTGTGTAAGAAACTGTATTTTAAACTAGGCTTCTATTTATCCTCATGAGACCCCGATTTGTATTTGATGTTATTTAAAACGATATTCCACCCAAAATAAAAATTTTGTCTGTTGACATGTGTCCCAGTGTTAGAAAAGTGGGGAAAAAACAATTTGTAACCAGCCCAGTCATTCTCCTGACCTGACTGTACTCCTTTAGCTTTAGCTTAGCATTAAACTCAGTAAGTGAATGGGTCCAACTAGCATTATGAGTAAAAACATCCTTAAAACCACTTAGTAGTGATCCCAATTCTGCATGGCAACCTAAATAATCAGACTGACTTCAAGTGAAAATAATTAGTAACGTAAAGGAATCACAGGCGCTATTTTAGACTTGGGACTACTTTATGAAAAGCACAGTTGTAAGCCTCCGCTGGCAGCCCCAAAGACACCTGCTTCTGTAAACACAGATGCCCATGTTTTTAGTAGGGATGCACGATCAGGTTTTTTGCTGCCGATCACCGATACCGATATCAAAGAATGCTGATCACCGATACCGATCACGTGGATTGGCCAGAAATTTTCTACAACATTATAATGAGTGGTACAAACTACATAATCTGGGAATAAAGGAAATGTAACCTAATCTAAAATGGTCTTATTTAGGGTTGTCATGGTGTGAAAATTTAACCTCACGGTTATTGTGACCAAAATTACCACGTTTTTCGGTGTTATCGCGGTATTTTTTTTTTAACGTGTGACATTTTCACACAATAATTTACACAATTAAATAAACCCTGTATGTCAGGAAATATTGGCCTTAGTTTGTATCTAAATTTAGCCTAAAATGTGTTATTTTGTAATTATGTTGTTTATTTGTTTACATTTTTCCCTTTAGTCTTCAAAATACCAATATTTGCCCATAACTTTTTATTTTTTGTCTGTTTGATGTCATCATTTTAAAAATATTAGATCAGATGATACTCAGTACTCAAGTAGCCTTCAAATCAGATACTTTTTTACCCTTACTTGAGTAATAAACCCTATATCAGGAAAATATTGTCCTCGGTTTGTGTCCTTCCAGTGAGCTTTGCAGATTTGGGAAAATGTCACCAGGCAGTAATCATTGTTAAATTCATAATTATTCTCAGAGAGAGACCAACTCTTATCTGCCCCTGGGAGCCCCGTAATGCATAGCGTCATTTCAACATGGCGGTGTCCGCGACACGGTTTGTATGCAGGTAGCGGCGCTGCGGCTGCTTTATATAGCGACTCGTTGCATTCTCCCTCAACCCAAATCCTCGGATCACGCATTTTAGCTAAAACGCTAACGTTAGCTTGCCTTGCGTTGACTGTAGAGTTGTGGGCGATGGTCACACAGATGTGTCATGAGATTTGAAGCGTTGCTGCCTTTCACAGACACTTTTTCTGCACATGCTGCAAACAGGATAGCCGTCTTCTATCAACTATCCCTCGGCATTCTTCAAATATCCAAAATATGCCCGTACTTCCCATTTTGTCTTCTTTGAGGGATAAAAAATGTCCTCCTGCGCGCTGCCGTCTCCTCCTTTGGCCATTATTTCAGCTTTGGTTGTAAACAACAAAGTGCGCATGTGCCGCCGGCAACTTCAGCAGATGATACGGTGGCTGGTAAGGGTCACCGCGCCTACACCGCAGTCACGGTAAACCCACCGAGATAATATATATATTTTTAAAACAAGACGGTTATTATTATTGTCAACTTTTTTTTTTACCGGGGTTTACCGCTACACCGGTTACCGTAACAACCCTACCTGATCGGTCTGCTTTGATCTATTTTGAAAACTCCGATCAAAACCGATAGGGGCGCCTATCGGCCGATTGGGATGAAATGCCGATCCATCAGTGCATCCCTAGTTGTTAGTGAACCAGCGTAAAACGCACACACAGGTCATCAAGCAGATTTAGGATCACAACTGAGTGGTTTTAAGGATGTTTTTACTCACAGTGCTAGGTGGACCCATTCACTTACTGTGTTTAATGCTAAGCTAAAGCTAAAGGAGTACAGTCGGGTCAGGAGAATGACTGGGCTGGTTAAAAATGGCCTTTTCCAACTTATGTAACTCTGATGGGGCGACGGTGGCACAGGAGTTAAGTGCTCGCCTCGCAATCGGAAGGTTGCAGGTTCGAGACCCGCTCAGTCTGTCGCTGTCGTTGTGTCCTTGGGCAAGACACTTAACCCACATTGCCTGCTGGTGGTGGTCGGAGGGACCGGTGGCGCCAGTGCTCGGCAGCCTCACCTCTGTCAGTGCGCCCCAGGGCAGCTGTGGCTACATTGTAGCTCATCCCCACCAGTGTGTGAATGTGTGTGTGAATGGGTGAATGACTGATTGTGTTGTAAAGCGCCTTGGGGGTTCCAGGACTCTAGAAGGCGCTATATCAAATACAGGCCATTTAAAAAATCTGTTGAGACTACTTTTCAATTTTGTGCGGAATATCCCTTTAAAAGACAAAATATTTATATTTATTATAGATTAGTCAACTCTCATAAACGTGAATAAAATATTACTTAAATAAAACAATTAGACACGTTGACAAATGTTTAAAAAACAGAAATCAAAAGAAACGATTTTAAACTTAAAAGTCAATATCAAGTGTCTCTAAATAATGAAAAAGTTCTAATTTGAAGGGAATAAAATATTATTGTGCAAAATTACAAAGTCCACATATGTGAGCACAGGGTCTTAGGAGGTTAAATTAGCAGCCATAAATATATTTGGATGGATTTTTTTAAAGTCATATAGTGAGGAAAAAGTAAATGGTGTCTAAATGGAACTGGGTTATAAATAATATGATAAATTAGAATATTCTGGTTTATGTGTTACCTTGTGTCTCGTCTCCTCTCCTGTTCAGCTCCAGGACCAGTTTGCAGCCACGGCAACTAAAGAGTTTGACCCACTGGGACCTCTACCACACGGTTGGGGTAAAGCAAACTCATAAGACAACTGTTGTTTCCAAAAGATACAATGAGAATATGAGATGTTAAGGTGAATGGCTGCAGATTGGTAAATCTGTTGTGTTCTGCTGCAGAGAAGAGAACAGACATCAATGGAAGAGTTTATTTTGTTCATCATCCGACTCGGACGACACAGTGGGAGGACCCGAGGACACAAGGGTGAGTGGAGCGACCGCCTCTGTGTCACTGGTCTGCAGCATCAGCTGATGCACCCGTATATTTATTAACGGTTAAATGGAATTAAATAAAAACGTATAAAAAAAGTGCAATAAGTGATAGTATGGATTAATTTTCCTAAATAAGGAGGCAGTTGGTACACAATAAAGAGACTGTTTTTTCCCTTGACGTTTAAAATGAAATATATTGTGAAAGTCATAAAATATTTTCAGGAGTTAACAAAGTCAACTACCTGCTGTGATTCTGTAGTGTTTCAAGGATAATCCTGAGTTTAGTTCTCATTTATTCCTAAATCAGATTAATTACGTGTCTCCCATGTTTGTTTCGTTTGCATTGCCCAGGCTGCTGAATGATAAGCCCCTGCCTGACGGCTGGGAGATGCGGTTCACTGTGGATGGGATTCCTTATTTTGTCGACCACAACAGGAGAACGACGACCTACATCGACCCCCGCACTGGGAAATCCTCACTGTAAGATGTTGACATGTCTAAGTTAAACGCAGCCTTTAGAGAAAGAGACCTGGCTGCAGCCTTTAGCCTTTGTCCAGGAGTTGTGTTTTGGGCATATTTATATTACAAGAAGCATTTAACTGAGCAAACCATGTTTTTTCCCCCCATTTTTAATTTTCCTTCCAGTGAGAACGGCCCACAGATCACCTACGTCAGGGACTTTAAAGCCAAAGTGCAATACTTCAGGTTCTGGTGTCACGTATGTACTTTTTAAATCTCTCAAACTCAAAAACGTTTCTGATTCAAATGGATACTATGAAACTTTTTCATATTTTTAAACCATTTTCTTGAGCCAGTATGTGTTTAAATGACCCTTAACAGGGTTAATGAAATGTCACTCAGACCCCCACCGCCCTCTGTGGCCAGAATATCACACATGCAATGTCAGAGTGCCGGTTTAGTCCCTGTTGAACTTAGTAAAGTGGAGTTGACATACCTGGCGCTGCAGTCTGCTTCCAGCACGTTTCCTGCATGTTTTAGATCATGAGCACAGCTGATTTGTTTAATTTAGTAAAGAATCACTCCTTTAGACATTAATGGAGGCTGGGGAGACATTTCAGCTGTTGGATTAAGGTGTTAAAAAGATGAACGTATAGCGAGAAGATAAGTTTCACTTTTGCTTTCACAAACGGACACTAGGGGGTGCTAAAAGCAAGCCAAAACTGCACAGTGTCCCTTTAAATCTCATTATTTTGTGCTAATTTAACCTCGTGCATTATAATATTTAAGAAAGGATATGTGAAATATTTTCCACCAAGTATTTGTATATTTTTTGTAGCAATTGTCGATGCCTCAGCACATCAAGATTACGGTCTCAAGAAAAACGTTGTTCGAGGATTCGTTTCAGCAGGTAAACTTTTTCTTAGTTTTTTTTTCTTTAACACCGACATTTTCTATTTTTACGTAGCAAATGTAATTCTTTGTTTGCCTTCAAAGATCATGAGTTTCCACCCCCAAGATCTACGGCGGCGGTTGTGGATTATATTTCCTGGAGAGGAGGGTCTGGATTACGGAGGTGTAGCCAGGTAATCGTCTTCTATGACTCGTAAGGCGTGGGAAAGTTTCACTTCCAGATGCTCTTTTTTTTTTGACTACACCCAAATCTTATTGAATTTATAACAGCACACATATTCCATCACCTGACTCAGACGCGTGCGACGACTCACCTGTTTAACCCTCCGTCCTTATCTTCTCAGAGAGTGGTTTTTCCTGCTTTCACACGAAGTGCTGAATCCCATGTACTGTTTGTTCGAGTATGCTGGAAAAGACAACTACTGCCTCCAGATCAACCCAGCCTCTTACATCAACCCCGATCACCTCAAGTACTTCAAGTTCATCGGCCGCTTCATTGCTATGGTACCCCCTTTTATTTGCAAACGCTCGAATAATTTAAATTTGACACGCTGGTTTGGTGTGACGGGATGATCGCGCTCATCTAACATGTTCAGGGTTTTTTTAAGTTTGTTTGTTTCACCAGACTTTTTTTGAAACCAATCCTGTTGAATTACTTTAGTATTTTTACTGTTTTATCTAATTTCTTTCTTTCACACACCTGGATTTTTTCTCTCTAGGCCTTGTTTCACGGAAAATTCATCGACACGGGTTTCTCGCTGCCTTTCTACAAACGCATCCTGAACAAACTGCTGGCTCTTAAAGATTTGGAGTCCATAGATCCAGAGTTTTATAATTCTCTCATTTGGATCAAGTAGGTGGCTCATGAGAGCATGTAACGGGAGGTAAACTTGGGCAACAACAGTTTGAAGATGCATTTGATTTGGTGCGAGTTTGTTTATTTTAAATAGTCCTGGGTTTTCTTGAAAAATAGAATGTAAACAAAAAAGAACTAAACATTAATTATCTCAGTTTGTGGGTTTTGAAGCACGTTGATGCTAACGGTTATTTATTTGTTGGCTTGTAGGGATAATAATATAGAAGAGTGTGGCCTGGAGATGTTTTTCTCTGTTGACAAGGAGATCCTGGGTGAGGTCACCACCCATGAGCTGAAACCAGATGGAGGAAACATCCAAGTAACCGAGGAAAATAAAGAGGAATACATCAGGTACAGCTGGATCACGTCTGCTGCATCTTACCTCTATAAGATTTACAATGATAAGCTGGAAAAATTTGTAGAAAAAAATGGCATTTTATTAGACAGTCAGTATGGCTTCAGATCAGGTAGATCTACTGCACAAGCTCTAATGGAATTGGTTGAAGACATATCCACATCGCTTGATCAGAAAAAATATGTTCTGGGAATTTTTATTGATTTGAAGAAAGCCTTTGATACAGTCGATCACAAAATACTTTTATCAAAAATGGAGAAGTATGGTATAAGGGAGACAGCTCTCAATTGGCTAAAAAGTTATTTGAGTAACAGAGCTCAGTATGTGCAGTTGGGCTATCACAAGTCTAGCTGTCTCGAAGTTCACTGTGGAGTTCCGCAAGGGTCGGTACTTGGCCCAAAGTTATTTCTGTTATATATAAACGATATTTACACAACTTCAAAATTATTTAAATTTATTATGTTTGCTGATGATACAAATATTTTGTGTTCAGCAGAAGATATACAGCAACTTATACTACAGGTCCAGAATGAATTGAGTGAGCTTAAGAATTGGTTTGATAAAAACAAACTGTCGTTAAATGTCAGCAAAACAAAGTTTATGTTATTTGGAAATAAAAGAAGTAGTAAAGAAATCTATTTGACTGTTAATGAAATAGCCATTGAAAGAGTGTATGAAATTAAGTTTTTGGGGATATTGATTGATCATAAGCTCTGTTGGAAGCCATACATACAATATGTGTGTTCTAAATTAGCCAGAAGCATTGGAATAATAAATAAAACAAGATATTCTCTACCACAGAAAGCACTACACACACTTTATTGTACTATGATTCTACCATACTTATCATATTGTGTCGAAGTATGGGGCAATACTTATAAATCTAATTTATTAAAGATTTGTGTTCTCCAAAAAAGAGTGGTAAGGATAATTATAAATTCTGGATATAGAGATCATACAACTCCATTATTCTACAATTTAAGATTACTCAAATTTTTTGACTTAATTCAATTTAAAACTGTCCTTGTACCGTATAGGGCCATGATGGGTGTACTGCCGTGTAATTTGCAAAGGTTGTTTAAAACTCATGAAGAGGGTTATGAATTGAGAGGCGTTAAAAACTTCATTTTTCCATTATACCGAACAACTATGAAAAGTATGTGTGTATCTGTATGTGGTATCAAACTGTGGAACAAACTTGATGTGACTTTAAAATTATGTAAAAACATTAGATCATTTAAAATGTTGTATAAACAACTTATAATTGACTCATACATAAATAGCAAGTGATAAAAATGGTAATTGGCTGCAAATGGAATATTTTGTTTTTGTTGTTTATTGGTTTTGTTTTCTTTTTCTGTAGATTCATGTGAACAATTGTTTTGTAACTGTCTTTTTATGTAGCAACTAGCAAGGTGAAGATAGAACGACCTGCATAAAGAAATTTTTTTTTTTCTTTCAAATTTGTTAATGTGAGCAAATGTGATTTATTAACTGAATTGGGGCTGGACTAGATAAGCTTTTGCTTCTTCCAGTTCCCTCTCAAATGGTTTTATGTTATTGTATGTTTTGTATTGTTTCATTCAACAGCATATGTTTATCGTATTCCTCATTTAAAAAAAAAAAAAAAAAATTTTTTGTATGCACCAGGAATATGGGGGAGTGCATATGCAATTTCATGTTTTCGATGGTTTGAGATAAATAAATTAAAAAAAAAAAAAAAAAAAAAAAAAATAATGTAACATTTATGGAACTGGACTGTCCTTATGTCCAGGCTGGTGGCAGAGTGGAGGCTGTCTAGAGGTGTGGAGGAGCAGACACAAGCCTTCTTTGAGGGTTTCAACGAAGTTCTTCCACAGCAGTACCTTCAGTACTTTGATGCTAAAGAACTAGAGGTAAATCTCATGTCTGCATCTTTTCAAATGTAGATGGTCAGGCTACTTTAGATATCAATAACCTGATTATGTTTCATGTTTCTTCTTTTTAGGTGATGCTTTGTGGGATGCAGGAGATCGACCTTGGCGACTGGCAGAGAAACACGATCTATAGACATTACACTCGGGGTAGCAAGCAGATTCTTTGGTTTTGGCAGGTTTGTACTGATAACATCGATACTTTATTTCTACTGGTTGGATTTTAATGACAGAGCATTGTCAGTAGATCATCTACAGCTGATTAACCTTTGGAGACTACCCAGATCTAGAAGACCTTCTCAGTTAGTTGATGTCAGCAAAAACAAATGGGAACATCTTTTTTCAGGTTTACAAATATTAAGATAAAATATACTGTGTGTAGCTGAGGGTCAACTCCAACCACTGTTGCGGCAGTTTCTGAAAAAGAGTAACTAGTTACAATCTGAGAACAAGTTCTTGTAGGAATTTATTCAGCACTCTTTTAGGAAAGCTACCACTTTCACTCTGATTTCTTACCACCTGGTCCTTTGCTCTGACTTAAGTGGAGCGTTCAAAAATACTATGACAGCCAAAAACTGCGTTTTAGGGTATTTAATAGATGTTAGGCTCTGATACGAAAAGTTCTTATTCTGTCAAGCAAAGAATACAAAAGCTCTGTATTTGCTGCTGGCATTCCCAGCAGACACCTTTCGCCCCCTCCTTTTGTAGTCTTTCGGTCCCTGGAGGCGGTTCCACCTAGATCCATCTGAATTCACCCTAAACATTTATCTAAAGCCCTTTTTACAAGACACACCATGCCGGCAAATTGGTGTAATATTACCGCAATGGTATGTCTAAACGCTCGACGCAGGTATGGCGTTGCGCAAATTTTGCGGCATTCGTTCCGCCTCGCTTGGTAGTAATATTGCGGTAATGGTCTGTCGTATGTGCCCTGGCGCAACAGAGGCAGATGCCATGATGACGTGGGGAGTTACTGCTGAGCTCCAGCTGGCAAATTTATTGAAAATGAAAGTAAACGCAGGCAATAAGGTTTGCTTTTTTAACAAAATCAGCTGAGATGGCAAACTGGAGTGCTGAAACTGGAGCGCTGCAGCGCTCCATAAGCCTCTGTTAGAGCTGAAGCTCAGATCACCAGAGACTGCACAGGGACTGATGGGTACAGACACCTTTAGGGGCTGCTTGTTAAAAAAAAAAACAACGATTACGGCTTCAATCGCAATAAAAAGCAAGTTATGTCCAAGATAAACGGATGTCTGCAGCAGCGCAGAGACCGCCCCCATAGCCCCTTTATGCCGCCATC